CCCCCCCCCCCGCCGCCTCTTTCAATATAATTTGTTCCCATAGTTTATGAATGTTGCGGACATTTTTTTAACAGTTTTTCTTTCGCTCAATGTTTTTATTACTGTTTTATTTTATTGTTTATATATAGGAGAGTATGCGGAGATATGAGTGGAAGTACACCTGGGCCTCCAGGTTCAACTGTTCCGATACCCTCCTCCTCGTAGCTGGAGTTGTCTCCGATATCAACGGAGAGATCGCTGTTTTCATGAAAACAACCGACAATGAGAAAAATAAATCAAATTACAGGAAAGACCCTATTTACCAAAACCATTTTTTTCAAAATTGCTTTCTGGGATTTTTATTTTGAATGAAAAAATTAATAATAATTCAATTAACTGATTTTTTATTTATTTTTTCAAAATTAAATTGAGAAAAATATGGTTTAACGTTTAGTATATTATGCCGTGTCTCCAACAACCCATACGATGTGATGGGGGACTGGGTTTCAGAGTTCCATTTCTTCTCCGGTCGGTTGATAGAGTCTCCGGATGTAGACGGAGCTAGCTCAGCCTTGTATATATGTGAAGCAAACCCGTCCTTGAGTCTGAACCCTGATATATCCTCCCCGTACGCTTCTAATGTGATAAAACATGTTGTTCTTAGGTATGTTTATGGTTTTTTAATGTTTTGAGTTACTGACAAAAATTTTCCGTTAAATATTTTTTTATGGTATTAAAGCTTTTTAAAAAGTTAATGATTTTGCATAACATGATGGTCATTTTACTTCGACAAAGATAAAGTCATAGTTTGTGATTTCAGGATTAGAAAATTAGAGATTGAGGGAGTGATCAGTTACTTAATCAATGCTTAGGATGCAAGACGAGAATATTAATTATCTCCGATATCTCTAGATAACAATATCCATGTTTAGGATGTAAGACGAGAATATTAATTATCTCCTATATCTCTAGATAACAATATCCATGTTTAGGATGTAAGACGAGAATATTAATTATCGCCGATGTCTCTAGATTACAATATCCATGTTTAAGATTCAAGACGTGAATATTGATTATCTCCGATATCTCTAGATAACAATATCCAATATCCATGTTTAGGATACAAGACGAGAATATTAATTATCTCCGATATCTCTAGATAACAATATCCATGTTTAGGATGCAAGACGAGAATATTTATCTCCGATATCTCTAGATAACAATATCCAATATCCATGTTTAGGATACAAGACGAGAATATTAATTATCTCCGATATCTCTAGATAACAATATCCATGTTTAGGATGTAAGACAAGAATATTAATTATCTCCGATGTCTCTAGATAACAATGTATCCATGTTTAGGATGCAAGACGAGAATATTAATTATCTCCGATGTCTCCATGTAACGAATAGATCCATGTTTAAAGATGATAATGCCTTCACAGCGCTTAATAATAGGTTTGTATATTTTTTATAAATATTTTTTAACATGTTGGTTGGTTGGTTGGTTGGTTGGTTGGTTGTTTATTGTGGAACAAATCATTAAGAATGTGTTTTAAATTTCCATGATGGTGTTTTTTAAAATTTTAGCCCAATATTTGTTGCATATAATTTTCTAGCCCCTTCTAATTATGTTTTTTGAAATTCTCCGTTTAATATTTATTTGGAAATATAGTTTTTAATTTTATTAAAAAATGTTTGCTTGGACCACAAACTTTTAATTAAAAAGGTTTTTAGTTTAAAAATGATCAATTAAGATGTCAATAAGAGGGTTAAACCTACCAACTAAATGTTTTACCTTGTTCCCTCACAATCTTCGAAAACCAGGGGTGGGTAATTAAAAAAATGATATCCCTTTAGTATTGTTGTTGCAGAGTATCCCTACAGTATTGTTGTTGCAGAGTATCCCTACAGTATTGTTGCAGAGTATCCCTACAGTATTGTTGTTGCAGAGTATCCCTACAGTATTGTTGTTGCAGAGTATCCCTACAGTATTGTTGCAGAGTATCCCTACAGTATTGTTGTTGCAGAGTATCCCTACAGTATTGTTGCAGAGTATCCCTACAGTATTGTTGTTGCAGAGTAGAGTTTATTGAAGAATTACAAGTTGATGCACCCTGTTTACAGATACTCACAGAGAATAGAATATGCTTGGGTGAGATCTATTTATTTGAATAATAATTGTTAACTGTTATTTTTAAGTTATTTTAATTCTAAACCACTTCATGCCTCTCTTTCTGTTAATAATTCAAAGTTGTATATTGTTGTTTTACCAGCGAGAGTTATTTTTTGATACATTTTTTAAGAATAACAACAAAAAAGTCTAAAAATTTTTTTTTTGTTGTCGAATTTTATAAATTTAAATTATAAACTACACTTGGAGCCATGTCAGTTTTCATATTAAACGTGCAAATTGGTTCAGCCGTCATAACATTTATATACAGACAACATGTTATCAAAAATTATTTTTTAGTATTTTTATCAAATGCTGAGAGTTTAGCTCCTCATCTTCTGGGATTTTGTTTAGTTAAACCAGAAGATCTTTCTAATGTTCCTTTTATCAGGTAATAACAATATGGCAATATGACAATGAGACAATAAGACAATGTGACAATGTGCCAATGAGACAATGTGACAATGAGACAATGTGACAATGAGACAATGTGACAATGTGACAATGAGACAATGAGACAATGTGACAATGTGACAATGAGACAATGAGACAATGAGACAATGTGACAATGAGACAATGAGACAATGAGACAATGAGACAATGAGACAATGAGACAATGAGACAATAAGACATCGTGTCATTGTGACAATGTGACTAGGATGACCACAATGACCAAGAAAACAAAATAATCTATAATCTCAAAGATAGCAATAAAAATGAAAAGATAGTTCAATTTCTTACGCGATAGTAACAAAAGAAAACAGAAGAAACAAGTGTGAAACAATACAGTTTTATTTTTGTTAAGTTGTCCAGACAGGGTTATAAATATGGAAGGTCATATTGTGGGTCTTGCCCTCTCTCCAGACTCTAGGTTTGTAAATATCAATAACATTATTATCTTATCTCATCAGGGCCCATGGGCCTATTCAGGGGCAAGCCCCCCTCCCCCCGGATAAATTTCTGCTTACGCCCTTGTATCCCACCTTCCAGCTTTTACCATAATTTTGCGGATTTCTTAAAATATTTTCTTGGATTTCAATCGTATCCCATAGATAAACTTAATCTATTATTTATACCTACGACAAAACTATTTTTATAATTATACCGGACCTGTGGTTAATAGTGTAACAAACGTATCTGTTTTTAGATCTGTGTTGAAATTAAAATTTTTTAAAACAAACACTCGATAGGAATAAATATAAAACCAATCGGTACATCTGTACAATAAACTTTTTCCATCTCACAACACCTTTTTTTTATTTTCTGGAACACTCCCTTTAAACGGAATGTAGGCGTAAATTCAAATGACCCTCCTTGTAAAAAGTAGCAATTCGAATTCACAACGGTACCATTAAAAGGAGTGTCTGATCACGACGGAACCAGATATCCATAACTTCTCAAAGCGTAGACTATTTTTAATTGAGATTTCATTTAAAAATGATAAATTGTGAGATCTACGAAATCTTCGATCAAATAAAGGTTAAAGGGTACTTTTGTGAATTGGACCTCCTCTCTTTTAATGGGGTGTCATTGAAAATTACGAAAATCCCGTTGAGGCGGTTCTTATTACTCCAGGTACCTGTATGTGAACGTGAGACGGTGGCCGGAGAACTGTGAACCGAACCTACTGGAGAGTCCGGCCATTGCGTCGGAGATAGAGCTCCGGGTTGTAGATTTAGAAAACCTTACTCTCATGAATACAGTTTACTCAGGACACAAGTTAGTAAACTTGCCATAATCATTTTCTTTCTTTCAAAGAGTTAACTCATAAAAAACTGCTTAAATGTAAATTTTTATATTTTTTCTGGATATATTTAAATGGGCTGTCGAAATTAATCTTGGGTTTCCAGTGGAATTCAAAAATCGTCACGCGCTAATTGATCGCAAAACATTTTCACTATTAACCTTAACTTGCGTTGATAAAATTTGATCCGATAAGTTTTCCAAAAAGCCGATAATTCCACAATGATAGAAAGTTAGACATGCAAATAACTTCAGCTGATAAACAGGGAATGAACATTGCGCGCAAATTCTTATGGACAAGGATAACCGCAATTTGCGCAATTTTTTTACAAGCGAAATTGGAGAACGATTGCGCTATTTTTAACCCACTCATTTAATGTGACATTAAGTAAAAACTTTTTAGAAACGTCAGCTGGGAATTATAAATTTTCAGTCTAAGCAAAATCCCTCTAATCTTACTTTATCTATTCATACTAATATTATTTTCATAAAGAAAATTATAAAATTAATGCTCATTTTTTCTTTATTATATATTTGATGATGTTTAAATATTTTAGAGGATTTACAGACTCAATGGGAGCTTTCTATATTTACATCGACGTGAGTAAAGATTTTGTGGGAAGCGGAAGTGAAGACGAGCTTCTATGTATCAGTCAGCTGTCTCGTTGTCTGTCTTTCTTTCTACATGTCTGTCTATTTTTCCTATTTATATTCTATTATAGCTATTTTCAGGGGCGGCTTATGATATTTTCCAGGGGGGGGGGGAATAATTTAGTTATTGCGAAATTTGCTATCCCCCCTGGATTTTTTTTCAGTGCGTATGGTCTATTTTATGTCAAAACCAAGAGCAGCTTGGGGGGTTGAAGATGAAAATTTGTTGGCAAGGTTGTGATTTTTATAACAAATATTTGAATAAAAAGTTGCGGTATTTCCTAATATTTCATAAGCTTTTATATGCAACACAATACACATTCTTACACTAATTTCTGTATACCTCTGGCAGTCATTCCACATCTCTGTCTGCATGTCTTTCCCTGGTACCTGGTGAAAATGAAAGACAAACCAGAATGTCCAGTGATCCTTTGAAACTGAAGTTACCTGTTGTGCACACCGAAATACGAAGAAACTTTTGTAGTGCAAGAGTTATCAATATATGGAATGATATTACATATGAAATCAAAAGTGCTGGAAACAGTTTTTGAACAGTTTCAAAAACAAGCTCGATAACTGGCTGAATTCCTGAACGGCCAATGAAGTCGGAAAAGAGATGTTTTAAATTATCACACCCGTGATATATAAACATAATCACACCAATTAAACCAATTAAAATTAAACCCTATCTCTCTCCTATCTCAGTTTTTCTGTCTACCATTCTCTGTGTCTCTGTTATTCCTATCTATCTCTTATGCACGCATCTGTCTTATCTACATATCTTTCTATGTGTCTATGTAACTTACTATGTATCTATGTAACTATCTATGTATCTATGTAACTTACTATGTATCTATGTAACTTACTATGTATCTATGTAACTTCCTATGTATCTATGTAACTACCTATGTATCTACTTTATGAAAATATTATGTAGGCAATAAATAGTAAAATCATGTGAAAATTCAATCAAGATATGTATCTATCTATGTATCAATCTATGTATATCTATGTATCTATCTATGTATCTATCTATGTATCTATCTATGTATCTATCTGTGTATCTATCTACTGGTCTAGATACTATGGTTGCCTGGTCTCGGAGCTAGAACATAGCGCGTGTGTGAATTCTACAGCCTTTTGTCCATCCAACCAGCAGATTATCGTTACTGCCTCGGATGATCACAAAGTAAAGGTAAAAAATGATGAATACAGGGCTCCCCGAAAAAGATAAGACTTCAATGACGACCTCTAACTTATTTCATATAACGAACTGATTTTTTTGAGTTTCTTCCTTTGATTTAATAATCGCATATTAAATGAAATGGCAAAAAAGGCTTAAAGCTGCTGGAAACCTAGAATGTAAGGCCAATATCTGAATAAATCTGTAGAGCCGTTTCTGACCTCGCATTTTTTGTGGGTAACCGTATAGTGAATACTCAGAACATGTAAGTTGTGGAATTGGCAAATCTAAATTTGCAAGATGCTTGTACGCCATCCCTTAAAATGATTTCTTATGAAATGTTTGTCCTTTTCTTAAAGTTTGAATTACAGGTTGGGATAACGATATTTTATAGGAAACCACGGACCGAGTTTTATGAGTTGGAGAGGTCGATGAACTACCCACCGCCGGTTCAAATTCTGAATCAACGATTCAAATACTCTTGAATCTTTAACTTTGAATCGGTGATTTGAGATTTGAAACTGTGGCGACCTAGTTCAAATGGACGTGAATCACTTTAACTCGTCTTTCTTTCTTAAAATTTTGAACAATTTGAACAGTTCTAATCGATAAAGTATTACCGGTGTCTTATTGGTTAAAACTTCGAGCAATTCCGAGCTCAAATGATCTTGATACTTGGTGATTATTTCTTTCATTTAAAAATTCACAACTTACTTGAAACTAATCAGAAATAACCAATTTCAGCCTAATTTAAAAAATATTTAGTCCGGATGAACCTGTGAACGGTAGTTCAGATGAACTAACCCAGGGTTCCTCCCAGAGCAAATTTGGGTCAGTTTACCTGACCCAACTGACCTGCCAGTTTCAGATTTGAAATATTTGGGCAAAAATCTGCCAATTTAGGGAAAAAAATTGCCAATTTAGAGAACTTATCTGCCAATTTTGGGGAAAAGCAACCAATTAACGCATAAAATCTGCCACAAACATAAACTTAATGCATAAAATTTGCCACAAAAATTATGAATGAGCTTTAAATCTGCCACAAACATAAACGTAATGCAAAAGATCTGCCACAAAAATTATGAATGAGCTTTAAATCTGCTACAAACATAATCTTTATGCATGAAATCTGCCACAAAAATTATGAATGAGCCTTAAATCTGCCACAAACATAAACGTTATGCAAAAAATCTGCCACAAAAATTATGAATGATCTTTAATCTGCCACAAACATAACCTTAATGCATGAAATCTGTCACACAAATTATGAATGAGCTTTAAATCTGCCACAAACATAATCTTAATGCATGAAATCTGCCACACAAATCATGAATGAGCTTAAATCTGTCACAAACATAATCTTAAAGATGAAATCTTCAACAAAAATTATGAATGAGCTTTAAATCTGCCACAAACATAAACTTAATGCATGAAATCTGCCACACAAATTATGAATGAGCTTTAAATCGGCCACAAACATCATCTCTATGCAGAAATCTGTCACAAAAATTATGAATAAGCTTTAAGTCTGCCGCAAACATAATCTTAATTCATAAATCTGCCACAAACATAAACTTAAAGCATGAAATCTTTTAGGAGGGACCTGGTTATTGACATTTTTACAGCACCAAAAACGGATCTATTCTACTACCATAATCCCAAAATTTTCTCTGCAAGGCCTTGCGACCCCCCGCCGCAGAAAACTTCTTCGAAGTTTTCGCGGGCTGTGTGTACATTCTGTCACTTTTTCATTGTAATTGGTTAAATTAAGCGTCACACATGTATTCCCAATTTTCAATGTGCACATACTTGACTTCAAAAAGAAATCTTAAACAATAAAATATAAAAACCCCAAAGTTTCATGAAAAATAGCAATGAAAATCTTATATTTGGGACCTTCAAAGTTTTCGCGGGCTGTGTGTAAATTCTGCCACTTTTGCCTTTATCCTGACCTGCCACAAAAAACCTGGGAGGAACCCTGAACCAACCCCTTGTATTGATTTAGGTCTGGAAATCTCGTGCACTGATGCGGAATAGATCCAAGAGTGAAATAGGGTGAAACTGCCCTGCATATCCAACATAATATTATTTATCTATAATAAATTATTATCAAACTGAACCATTTTCATGGTTCCACAAAATAATCATCTCCCATTTTGTAAAAGCATGTTTTTTTAACTAGTGTTTCGTAAAATTTGCTAATAAAACAATTTCATGTGATGATGTGAATAGCCCCCACCCCCACCCCCTCCAAATAGCTTTTTTTTTGCTTATTAAAAATTTAGTCTCTATTTTATAACATGTTATTTTTTGTGAATTGCATTTTTTCTTATCTAGTCAATGAATTATTGTGGTAGTTTTTAACTATAATTCCATTTATTAAGTGATATAACCAACTGTTTCATTTTTTTCTTTAATTTAATATTATATTATATTTTTTACTTAAAGATTTTGAACATTGATTTGGAAAAGAGGAACCTTTCGCCACAAACCTTTCTAACTCTTCCAACCTTTTGAAGTAAACCTTTGACATTTCAAACTATGAGTTCTGCTAGATTAAATTTGAAATATCTAAGATTTACGTCATCTTTTAAACCAATATGCACCATCAGGGTTGGTTACTTTACTCATAAAAGCGTAAACGCTCAAAATCTTAATTAAATATTTCGTGGCTCATTCTATTATTCCTATGGAAAAAATGTGAAACTATATTTTTTGTTTAGGGTTGAGTTTATCCAGCTAGCCCTGGAGTACAAGCCCCTGAACCTAGGCCAGGGTCTGCCTGATGATCTTGTTCCTAACTACGTCATCGATAGTCTCAGGCAGTTTATTAAACCTTGCAGAGTTCCGTCCGTTCCTGGGCGGTTTTTTGAAGAAGACTTTGCCATGATTTCTACGGAATGATGGTTAATTATTATTATTATTATAATGGTTATTATTATTATAATGGTACAGAGTTATCCACAAAGGATGAGAGACGACTGTAGGGAATTTATTCTTTTTTCGTGCATGGCTGGTTTTTCATGGTCACGTTGTGTTTTTTTAATGGAAATTTGTCAGTGCACTTTTGAAAGATTATAATCGAGACAGAGAAGATCAAATTTAACCTTCTGATTTGAGCCAGAACTTAAGAATTAAAGGTCGTCATTAAAGTGTCTTCCTTTGTGGACAACCCTGTATTTATTAGCTGTAAACTGAATATTAGCTAGTTAAACCAGTTTTAACCAGCGTTAAAGCTTCAGACCAGGAAACTTTTAATTGTTCAGAAATAATTTAACCAATTTTTTCCACTTAAAAGTACAGCTTAGTTATGATGTTAAGTTTAGAATTGAAAAGTTCCAAATAATTCTAAAAAAAATAAGAAAACTCGAAAAGCGTTAAAATTTTAGCGTCACACAAAGTTTCGTTTTTATAACGTAAACATGTGATGTAGTAAAATAAACATGACGAAAAAGTAGAAATTAGCATTTAAATTGTTAATGTGATAACTCTAACGCGTTAAGTTTAATGAGAAATCGCAACTTCATAAAAGTGAATCTAAGATTTAGTAAGATAGGTTTTAAAACTGAAAATTTAGAGATGTGATAAATGATCCTTCAGTTTTTATGCATCAGTATACACGAGGATTTGTAAGTAGTTTTTATGAAGGTTTATATTTCATGTAATTGTTTTGGCATTCAAATGTATTTAAATGCCTAAAGATTTTTTGTCGCCAAGAAAAACTAAATGACAAATAAAATGCTTTAAATTTTTATATTTATTTCTGCCAGGAAACACAAAGTGGAAAAATAAACCATCTCTTATTAACATTTTTCAAAAATTTGAAATTCATGAACATTTGAACGTGAAACTATTTAAAAACAAAGATGAAATAAATTATACCCCAAGGGATATTTATTTTCTAATAAAATCCCGCAAGCGTTATTAACCTTATTCTCCAAAACTTTTTATTTTTGTTTGTGGTTTTTCCCACAAAAGCGACTTGCGCATTTCTTGCTTAGGAAACCATAGAGAAACTCGCAGAAATAATCACTTTTGGAGTCAGAAAAACGACGTTTTCTTCCACATTTTATCAAATAAAGGTTTCAAGGGTACCGTTGTAAATCAAGCATTGCTATACTTGGATCTAGAGTCACTTAGAATTACGCTTACAGTCACTTTAATGAATTTATGTAAATCATGTGTACTGTGTAGGGACATCCCCGGCTGGTGAATGCAGTATCAGCTCTGTACACTAAACTCCTGGATATAGGACACACTATAGATCCTAACAAGGAGGTTCTAGTCACTGATGGAGCATATGAAGCTTTGTTTACAGGTACCACACTATAGATCCTAACAAGGAGGTTCTAGTCACTGATGGAGCATATGAAGCTTTGTTTACAGGTACCACACTATAGATCCTAACAAGGAGGTTCTTGTCACTTATGGTGCATATAAAGCTTTGTTTACAGGTACCACCCTGGGGCCTGACCGAGGGTTTCTAGCGGAATAAAAAATCGTCGCTCGCAAATTCCTCATTTTGCACGAACACTTTTTATTCCTATGCAAATCCGCACTTTTTCTGCATCTTTTAAACCCCAACATATTTTTAAAGCTTTGTGTCTTTGGGGGAATATTAGTTAGTTATTTAAGTAAAAATCAATTATCTTTTTGCAAAAAGTATTAATTGTAAGTGTTCATTTCGAATTTCAATAAAAAAAATGATGCCCCAAACGCATTAAGTTAAACCCATTTTCTCTTAGTAGGCAGATAAAATTAATTATCATTGATCAAGTTTTAAGTTTGACGCATTCCCTCCATTTAAACGTTTTCATATGAGGATGAGGATATATATCTATATATAAATTTGGCTTGTCTGTCTGTTTGTTTGTATCCAATAAACGTCAAAACGGCTGAACCGATCGGGCCTAAATTTTTTGTGGGACATCTAGGGACCCCAGGGAAGGTTTATGAATCATCAAAATTTCAAATATTTGTCTCCATCAAAATTCGATCGTCATTAAATTTTTTAAAAATTTTGAAAATCCGCGAAATTATTTGTGAAAATCCGCGAATTATTTTTGTTTTGTTTTACGATGTACACAAAGAAAACATGTTCACAATTAATTTAGAAGATGGGCGCGAAGCGCCCTCTAAGGCTAGTATATGTAAATTTAGCTTGTCTGTCTGTTTTTTTATCCAATTAACGTCAAAACGGCTGAGCCGATCGGGCCCAAATTTTGTGTGTTATCTCGCGTGGGCCCAGGTAAGGTTTATGAATGATCAATATTTTAAAAATTTGTGTTAAAAAATTTTTATTTTTGTAAAATTTTGAAAATGCGCGAAAAAATATTATGAAATTCGCAAACTTTTTTGTTTTTGTTTTATACTGTACAAAGAGAAGATGCTCACAGTAAAAGCCACAATTAAACGTGGAAATAGAAGATGGGCGCGAAAAAGCCTAGTATATATATATTTTCTCGGAAAATCATTTCCCCCCCCCTAATATTACGTATGTATGGGGGAAAAAAGGAAATAAGTATTGAAAAGAATGAAAAATCTTTCTTTTTAATGTCCTATTTTTGATTTTCCCCTCAAAATCATCAAACTGAAAAATATACGTACACCTCTGGAAAATCATTATTAAGTTTTAATATTTTTTCAGCAATCCTTGGTCATGTGAACCCTGGAGATGAAGTTATCATCATTGAACCCTACTTTGACTGTTACGAACCCATGGTTAAACTGGCAGGAGGAGTTCCTAGGTTTATCTCCTTGAAACCGGTTAGTTGGAAGAATGGGACGGATAAACTGGTTTTAAACTCTAACTGACTATAATAGAGTAACCAGTTAGTTGGACGAATGGGACGGATAAACTGGTTTTAAATTCTAAACTAACAAACTATAATATAGTAACCAGATAGTTGGAAGAATGAGACGGATAAACTGGTTTTAAACTCAATCTAACTGACTATGAAAGAGCAAGTTATATTCTGTATTCAGACTGTATTGATACTAAAACTGATATTCTGTATCCACTATTCATATTGACACTGATATTCTGTGTCCAATATTCAGACTAAAAAGTTATTCTGTTTCCAATATTTAGACTAAAACTGATATTCTTTATCCAATAATTAGACTAAAACAGCTGTATCGAATATTTGGACTAAAACTGATATTCTGTATCTAATATTCAGACTAAAATTGATATTCTGTATCCAATATTCAGACTAAAACAGATATTATGTATCCAATATTCAGACAACACTGATATTCTGCATCCAATATTTAGACTAATAATAATATTCTGTATCCAATATTAAGACTAAACTGATATTCTGTATCCAATATTTAGACTAATACTGATATTTTGTATCCAATATTTAGACTAATACTGATATTCTGTATCCAATATTAAGACTAAACGGATATTCTGTATCCAATATTTAGACTAATACTGATATTTTGTATCCAATATTTAGACTAATACTGATATTTTGTATCCAATATTTAGACTAAAACTGATGGGATTACTTCATCAGGAGACTGGAAATTGGATTCTGAAGAACTCAAGCAAGTTTTCAACTCTAAAACTAAGGAAACATTTCATTTAGTTTTTATTGAAAGGTAGAAATAGAAAACTTTTAAAATGCTCTTTCTTTTGAAATGGGTAAATTCTTTTTGAAATTTAAATATTAAATGTTGTGCTTAATGTAGGCGATCATCTTCAACAACCCGAATAACCCCCTGGGGAAGGTTTTCAGTCTCCAGGAGATTGAAGAGATCTGTGGGCTCTGTAAAGAGCACGATGTTCTAATGATCAGCGACGACGTCTACGAGCACATGGTGTTCGACAATCACAAGATGATTAGGGTGGCAACCCTGCCTGGGATGTGGGATCGAACGATCACGATCGGATCGGCTGGGAAGACTTTCTCTGTGACCGGCTGGAAGCTTGGCTGGGCATACGGGCCTGAACATCTTATCAAGAACTGTCAGGTTCAGCCATCTATCCATTACTCAATCAATTAACTGTTTTGATCATTTATTTTCATTGATTTTAATTTTTTCGATCATTTGATCAATCATCGGATTTTATTATCAATTCGTCCACTTACTCTTTAATCCATCCTTCCTACTGGTCACCTTATTTAGTTTAATTTAGTGAAAGCAATTGAATTGTTGCCACAAACTCTGATTTTCGGATTCCTATATCATCAAGTCTCAATGTTGTAGACCTTATATATTATGTTGGATCAACAAATAAACTAATTTTGAAGTATCTAAGGTGTGCACCATCAGGTTGCAAAGTTATAAGGATTATAAATTTAAGTTGTAGTAAAGACTCAATTCCTTTGTCATGATTTAATCCGTTAACCAATTTTCCCACTAGGTCGTTCATCAGAACTGCGTGTACGCCTGCCCCACACCGATTCAGGAAGCAGTTGCGCGCGCGTTCGAGCTGGAAATGACGCGCTTGGACTCCCCCGACTGCTACTTCCGGTCTATTTCCGCTGATCTGGTCGCAAAAAGAGATTTCATCGCTCGTGTACTCACTGATGTAGGTTTTAAACCGGTTATTCCCGAGGGAGGTTACTTCATCATGGCGAACTGGAAAGATCTTGCATACAAAATCGATTTGAGCTCGGAAACCGATAAACAGCGCGATTATAGGTAAAAACTGATATAATAGCTACTTTTAGGAATAAACGTTTTATGCTCCCAATAATATAGTTGATTTAAACTTAAACTGAAATTATCTGTTCCAGGTTTGTAAAGTGGTTGAGTAAGAACCGGAAAATCCAGGGAATACCTCCATCAGCTTTCTTCAGTCAGGATCACAAATACATCGGATCCCCTCTTATAGGCAATTTTATCCCATCAGATAAGTAATATTTGCTCTAAAAAATATATCAGATTATACTTTTGTATAAAAACTTTTTTGGCTTGTAAAACAATTTTGTAATTAAAGGGACTGTTCACGTGATTTTAATTGACCTTCCCCATTTAAAAAGGGTATGTACAATTCACAATGGTATTCTTTAAACCTTTATCTGATCTATAATATATCGTCGTTTTTTCAGCTTGAATTTTCCTCACTTGTTTTTAAAGAAGAAGCAATTCAGTATTGTAGAGAAAACATAAAAGAAAATGATTATTTGTTTAGAGAGAAAACCATATCTTATTCAATTATAATAAAAATAAGCAAAGGGTACCGTTGTTAATCGGACAAGCCACCCTATAGACGGCGAGTTATAGTTATGTTGGTTTTCAGCATGATGATAGTTTAAAGAAAGCTGAAGAAATCCTGACCAGCTGGAGGAAAGAATTGGAATAGAGGAAGAATTAAAAAACTGACAGAATGGAAGAAAAAGTTTCTTTAGCCTGTGATCAAGTTGAAATATTATTTTCTCATTTGAGAAATAAGATATTTTGTGTTCATCATTTAATAAAAAAAAATAATATACATAGAATCAGTTTTTAAGTCATGTTATAAATTAGTTATATTTTTAAAATAATAAATGCGTACTACGTCTAGTCCTATTATTATGCGTCAGCTCTGCAGAATCCCGGTGATTTCAGATTATCACAATGAATGATGAGTTTGATGATGATGATGACTGGAAGCCTCCAACCGAAGCTGAACTCAAGGTTTTAGGTCAGATTTTATTTAAATAAGCTTTAAATATATCCTAATGTTTTGGATTTTGTAATCGATTTTTTAATTTAAAGGGACTATAAGCGTAATTTTAAGGGACCCTCCAAGCAAAAAAAAAAAGCAATGCCCGATTCACAACGTTATCCTTAAAACCTCTCTGATTAAGACTGAATTAGTTCACCAAAATCATTCAAACTAAGCCCTTCAAACCTTTTAAACGACACATTCTCCACAAAGGTTTCAAAGATACATTTTGCATGAAGGGTCACTTGAAAGTATGCTGACAGTCTCTTTAATCTAAATACTTCAATTTCTCGTCGATTTTAGCTGCGAAACGCGAGCGGAGCGATAAAATATCCAAGAAGATGGGCGACTACCTACTCAAGGCAAATATTCTCCATCAAAACTGAATAAATTCCCGAAGAATGAATGATTCGGCAAAAATTTGTTAAATTGACCAGTTTTTAAAATTAAGAATAAACAAAAACTTTGATTCAAATAAAAATGAATCGTTCCTCTACAAAAATAAGAATTATAGAAGCTTGAATTATCCTGAACTAGAATAGACATTAGCTCTTAGGATTCATATCATTTAAAAAAAATGGATAAATATTTGAATATTTGAACTGTCTAAAGGGATACCGGATGCTAGCAACAACCTGCAGACAATGTTCTACAATAGAACTTCAGGATAAACAGGGGCAAATATACTGCGTTGCATGTCAAGAGGTGAGTTCAGGATAAACAGGGGCAAATATACTGCGTTGCATGTCAAGAGGTGAGTTCAGGATAAACAGGGGCAAATATACTGCGTTGCATGTCAAGAGGTGAGTTCAGGATAAACAGGGGCAAATATACTGCGTTGCATGTCAAGAGGTGAGTTCAGGATAAACAGGAGCAAATATACTGCGTTGCATGTCAAGAGGTGAGTTCAGGATAAACAGGAGCAAATATACTGCGTTGCATGTCAAGAGGTGAGTTCAGGATAAACAGGGGCAAATATACTGCGTTGCTTGTCAAGAGGTGAGTTCTGGATAAACAGGGACAAATATACTGCGTTGCATGTCAAGAGGTCAGTTTTAAACTAATATTAAATGTATACAGTGTGTCCCAATAAAGATGGGAATTCAAGGGACGAACAGAAACTCGTCTTTGAGTTCTTAAAGTTGATAAATGGCAAAAAAGTGTATGAATAAAAGGTTTTGCCGAATGTGGATAAAGATAATTTTGATTTTAATTAATAAGCTGAATTCTCGACAAATTTCTGAATGACTATGTCAATTTTGAACGTACGAAAAAAGCAGACCACAATTCGGAATTCCCGAGACTATTTAATAGTTCTTTGATTATTTTGGAATTCCTAAAGTCCCTTTCAAGAATTTCTGTGTTTTTAAAAAAAAATTTTTTTGTTATGAGGCAAATGATAGGATATAAGTTTATCTTGCTATATTTACAAACTTGCATTATAACTTTAGCATTATTTTATCATAATATACTTACAATCAGAAAAAAACACAGATGTCATGGTATATTGTCTTTTTCCTTATCTCTCCGTGCTTTTCTTTCTTTCCCTCTAACATAGCCGAGAAATGNATAGGTTTTTTTTTCAAAAATTCTTCAGATTGATTGCCACGAGACCAGTAAGGACGATCCTGTCCTGTCAGATCAAGCGGCGGAGAAAGTTCTGGCGGAGTCCGCCTTCTCCGGTCTCAGTTCTCAGCCAAGATCAGAGTAAGTTCTTGATAACTTTTTATGATAAATAATTATACTAGGTTGGGAACACAGCGTTGGCAAGGGTACTCATAGTTCCTCCCGCCGTTTACCCGCGCTTGGTAGCAAAGTACGATTTTAGCTATTAAACTCGACCCACTCAACTTAGAATCTCAAAACCAAGCTAAGAACGTTCCCGGGGTTCTCTCGAGTTTTCCAATCATTTGAGGCCAATCGGTCAAGTATTATCGGACATATAAAAAGTTAGACAAACAGAGATTACTACTTCAAACAGAGATTATTACAACGTTGGGTTCCCAAGCGAGTTATATATACCATAAAGATACTTACATTTGTTTACCTAGGTCACAGAATCCTGATTTGATTCCCGGAAGCTCAATGCATCGGATGACACCGATGGAGAGGGAAGAAGAGGAATCAAATTTTCGTGGATTTGGTCAAAATCGAAATCAAACAGGATCCGCTAGCCCCTTTCCCCATCCTCCCCAGGGTGTAGCTCAGGGTCAACCCAGTTCTATCCTCGGTAGCCTCGGAGCAGCCTCCAGGATTCAAGCTTCCGGTGATATCCCTCAGCTCCAGTTGAAACCTATCCCCCTCTCCACCCCTGGATCCCGGATACAAGATACAGAGAGTAGAGAAATCCTCCAGAACTCCCGGTCAATTCTCTCCGCCAAGCTGCAGTGGGCGAACCAACTGCTTGAGGCAGAGCATAGTGTGGTATCCGCCACTAATCTCGCCATTCTAATCAGGGAAACCGCCTCAGCTCTGCACACAGTCTCCAGTATTCTGCAATAAATCATATTTCATCAAGAAAGGAACCAAACACTTTAGTTTCTAATCCCTTTATCTATAAACCTGATGGTGAAAACTTTCGAATTTAAATGTTGCCTATTTGATCCAGCAGAATTCATAGTTTGAAATATAAAATATCGGGTTGCAAAATTGTTATAATTTTGGCGTAATTGTTCAGTTCCTTTAAGACCTATCTATTTCATTTTCAATTAAAACGTTTATCTTATTTTTTTTAAAGATAAAATGCGACGATGTCAGGCTCCATCACAGGTTGCAAAACGAATATCTGGAGGTAGGAGTTCTGTTCATTTCTAGTGGTTTGGCTAATATTTAAACTAAACATTTATCATGGATGGAAAGTTTTGAATGTATTCAAACAAGTCACTGCAAGCTCAACTACTGTTTTTAGGGTTAAAATAGAATTTCATATTTCCAGATATCTCATGCATTTAATTGTAATTTCAAGTGACCTTTCATTTAAAGAGGGCGTTCACAGCGGTACACTTTATCTTATCAATAATGTGGAAACAGTTTTTCTAGCTGGTTAACTGTTTAATTCTGATAATTCCGAATCCGTAATGTCCATGCACCAGAAATAATAAAGAGAAAAACTGTACCGGGTAGTATTCCTGCAAAGCTTTGAACTGGAACCCTCTCTCCTAATCGAAGATCTCTCCATAATAAAGTCGAGCAAAGTCTTCTACGTTTATTGAAGGTTTGAATAAGAAAATATAACGCACTCAGCATTAAAAACTGTGACGAAGACTTTTGAAACAAAAACATTACACTATTAAACATAAAAAGTGAACTCGCCACGTTGGTCCACAGGATACAATAACTTTATCATACGAAAATCCGCATATACTGTTAACATAAAAGTTTAAACAACACTGATCATTCTGATCATCTTTAGTAGGGAAACCACGATTGAAAAGATAAACATAGACTTGATTGCTCTTCCATGCTTGATCAGACAGAGCTTGTAAGGGCACCCTTGTGAATCGGAAATGCCACTCGATAAGTAAAGGTTTACTTTAAATTAAGCCTTACAGTCCCATTACATGTTTACCTTTCGCACTCAGACGGTTGCTTTCTACTGAATATGCGACTGTTCAACTATACTTTAAACACTGAATTGAATACTTTATTTCTTCATCTGTTTCTAGATTTCTTCTTTTTAATCTTTGTGACAGAAACAATCTCAAGAACTGACGAGGGTCAACCCAGACCGAAATATATTTTCAATAAATGTGGAACTAACATCTAATTTTTGTTACTCTACAGAGGTTTGGTCCTTCACCATCACCGAATTTTTTATCTTTTTCTAGTTTCCAATTTGTCCATACAATCAAACTTAAATCCTTCAAGAAGGGTTTCCATTTGCGATATTTTCAGAAAAAGCGCTAAAGTTTATTAGTAATCTGAACAAATTCAAAAGTTGTCTTAATGTATGTTACAATAAAAAATCGACAGGACAAACAAATATTTTCCAGTGTTTTTGTTGCTATGGATATCAGAACAATAATACAAATTTTTTGCATCATTGCGTTTTTTAAATAAAATTTTTAACTTACGTCAAGAGCTTAAAGCATTGGTTAAATTGTTTCAAAGTGAAACGAAAACAGAATTTCCCAATTCAGGAGAAGACGATTTGTCAGCGGAGAAGACGAGAGTTCGTCCGAAAAAGAAACTGAAACCGAACCCGGACAGTGATGACGAGAGCCCGGAGAGGAAACCCTTGGGACTTCTCTCCAACTTGACACGAGCCCCTATCATAGGTATTTTACTTATTGTGGTGCTCAGTTGGGAGGTGAAGTCTCTCATTGGTTTAGTCCTCGACAAATTGATACACACTAGATTTGTGTTCTTTATCAACTGGTATATTTATTTTCGATTATTTTTATGGAGGCTCAGCCTTGATTTCTAAGGAATGATGGTTGACTGGTTTTTTATTTTAACTGATTAGTATTCATGTAGAGATACACATCAAACATCTTATGTTGTTATTTAAATATATTCAAGGGGCGATTATAATCTTTGTTTATTCAAAACCACAGACCCGATTTATAAATAAATTTGGCTTGTCTGGATGTTTGTTTGTTTGTATCCAATAAACGTCAAAACGGCTGAACCGATCGGGCCCAAATTTTTTGTGGGATCTCGCGTGACCCCAGGGAAGGTTTATGAATGATAAAAAGTTTTTATTTTTGTAAAAAATTTTAAAATGAAAATCTGCAATTTTGTTTTATTAAATCCGCGAAATATGTTTTTCTTTGTTTTTCAATGTTACAATGAGAACATGTTCACAATTGAAATAGAAGAAACAGCCTAGTAATATAATATAAGTCTTATTGATATTAATGTCAATTCTATCTTTTTTTCAATTCTTTTTTTGCTGCATATTTTTTTTTACAATTTTAATTTGGTGATTCAGAAAGATATTATACAAAACCGGAAACGAATCACATGTTTTACGTCCAGTGAGTTTTTTATTTATTTTTATTCATCGATATCTCTAAATCTTCTCCAGGTTTATGTTCTCCGGGTTCTACTGTATCTATGTCTCCTCATGAGGCCTTGATCAGGAGGTTGCTCAACAAACCCTTCAAGATTCCAATTAAAGGTAATAGTATGGATCATGTGTCTTTGCCTCTTCTTTTATATCTAAATACTTTATAATAATAATACTTATATAGTACTTATCACAAGAAGAAGTTGACTTTGATTTAAGATATTTTTATATGAACTTTGTTATTTTTGATGTTTTTGAATATTGATTTCATGGTTTGATTTAATTTGATGTGATTTGTTACGATTTGATTTTATATTTATGTTTGATCTGATCTGAATTGATATTATTTAATTTGAAATGATTTAATTAATTTTATTTGATTTGGTTTGATTTGATTTGATTTAATATGATTTTATTTTATTTTATTTTATTTTATTTTATTTTATTTTATATTTTATGTTTTATGTGATTTAATTTGATTTGATCTGAATTGATTTATTTAATTAGAAAAGTTTTCAATTGATTTGATCTGGTCTGATTTGATTTTATTTGTTGTGTTCTGTTTAATTTGATTTGATTTGATTTGATTTGATTTGATTTGATTTGATTTGATTTGATTTGATTTGATTTGATTTGATTTGATTTGATTTAAATTGATTTGATTTTGTTTGATTCAATTTTATTTTGATTTATCAACAGGTTATGTTGGCGGTAGCTATGGACGAAGCCTGGGTGTGCGACGAACTGGAGGCCGGCAACCTCTTCATGATCCAGACGCTGAGGGAGCTCTTGTTCTCCATGAACCTGTCCTACTCTCAGAACACGAGAAATTAAAGGTATTACAAAATATTTATAGTTAAGTTTTGTTTATTTGTAAAAGTTATGGTTAGAAGTTATATATCTATCTGTTAAAGTTTCAGTTTCTCGAAGTGTAAGTTTTTGCTTTTCTAAAATTTTAAATTACAATGTTTACAATGTTTACAATTTTCAATATTTACAATATTTACAATGTTTACAATGTTTACAATGTTTACAATGTTTACAATATTTGCAATGTTTACAATGTTTACAGTGTTTACCATGTTTAGGTGGATGTAAACAGTCTCGAGGTTGCTGTGGTTGTTGACCCAATCCTCTGTAACGTCCTCCGGCCTCATCAGAGGGAGGGTGTCAAGTTTATGTATGACTGTGTCGTGGGTTCTAGGATTTCAGAGTACCACGGCTGTATCATGGTAATTTTATTTGATTCACTCTACACTTAAAGCCATTATTTTTTCGGTCAGAGTTCTGCAAACCACTGTAGTACACACGGATTCAGTTCGACACGGTCCAGACTTTCAAAATTGTACATGAGATTGATAGAGTTGACAGAAAAGTTTGGTTTGAATTTGTAGATGAGAGAGGAGAGAGTAACACGGCTCTCAGTGGATCCCTTGAACGTTAAAAGTAAATTATTTAATTCAGAGTTGAAAAGAAGATTTTTCTCTAATCGTGTAGTTCAACAATGGAACGACCTGCCAAAAGAAATAAAAAATGCCAAATCGATTGGCTCCTTCAAATGCCAATACACGAATTGGAAATTCCGCCAGTCTAAGGATTAAAAAAAAGGAAACTGAATAAAAGAATGATTGTACCAGACTGTAAGATCTGAAAGATGTAACGTCTACTTGAGGGTGTATTTATTTTTGCCGTTTTTCTTTTATAAAAAAATATATTCGACATTTCTTATTAGCATGTTTATTGTTTATTATAGATATGGATGAACAATTTACTCTAAAAGTTTTTTCTCGTTTTTTACGTGTATCCAGGAATCGATAATAAATGGATTCTAATAGTATTTCCCCACTGGGGATATAACTTTTAAAGATAGGAGAAGGGGGGGGGATAAAATGGGAGTAATGTAATACTTTCTCACTTATACTTTTTCCTTTAAAATAATTTTATTGTAGGCTGATGAGATGGGTCTGGGGAAAACACTTCAGTGCATCACTCTTCTATGGACTCTGCTTAAACAATCTCCACAGTGTAAACCTCTCATTGACAAGGAACCAACCTCGATCAATCAATCAATCATTTAGTTTTCTAATACCTGAAGTTTTCTTCTTTTTTGATATTTTGTGACACATTAAAACTATGGAGATTCTTAATGTCTGCCGCCCATGATTTGATTTATTTCAAACGTAACTATTTTGCTAAATATTCGAGAAAAAAATGGGAAATTTTCAATGTTGCTGTCATATTTCATAGCGTTTAAACCTATCCTTTTTTGATAAATTTCGTGTTTTTTTTTCAAAATTGTAATTTTATATTTAAAAAATTTTGATTTTTGATCTTGGACATTGAGCAGGTTATAGTTGTTTGCCCGAGTAGTTTGGTGAAGAACTGGTTTAACGAGATACAAAAATGGTTACCAAACAGGAACAGTACATTTGGAATTTTATAGTTGGATAATTTAAAATTTTACGTACCATCGTTTCTTTGATTAATAATGGGCAAAAATTCCAGTTAGCCATCATTCCCTGGAAATGTAGACCGAGCCCATTTTAAAAAAAACCCGTCTAAGGTCCGAAAATTATTTACCTTGATCTCTCTATCTATTGTGGGCACTTTTGAATTTGATTCCTCTATTAAAGTTATCTCTGCCGGGTGTAACCATCTCGGGATATCGAACAGGAATTAAATTTATCTATAGATCTAAACGAATGTTCGGTGTTCAGTGTCAGTTTTTTAAATTTAAAAAATGAATTGTTTCTGGCAGAATATCCCCCCTAGCGATAGACAGTGGAACTAAGGCTGAGATAGATAAAAATCTAAGTAAGTAAAATTAATTTTTTCAGTTTAAAATGATGAAAATTGCAAAAGAAGTTTTAAAAATCATTTCCGAGAATTGTGGGTTTGATGAAAGGGACTAAATAAAAGTGAAGTTCCATTTATTTTTGAAAATCTAATCCACAACGGTACCCTTAAAAGCTTTCTGTTGCTTTCTGCTTCAGAAACAATGGAGGAATTGTGAGAATAAAACAACTGTAAAAACGACGATATCTTCCACATTGTTGATAAGATAACGGTTTAATAACAAGGACAGTCCAATAAAGTTAAATTCTATAAATCCTATTTCCTGTTCAGCTGGATTCATGAACACCTACGGAAGACGACCAGCCAACCCTGTTCTAATTATCTCATACGAAACCTTTCGTCTTCACGCACACGTCCTCCACACTAGCGAGGTCGGTCTCGTCCTTTGCGACGAGGGACACAGGTAATAAAAATTAATAAACATGAAATTTAATTGTTAAAAATAGATTTGGGCCTCATAATTTCTAAATAATCATTTCCTCCTATTTCGTCCTCAAAGCTTGTTTTTCCCCATTGTACAGTGGGCCAGGGGTATTCAAAACCTTAATAATCCATCTTATATATCCAGAGAGTGTTTGTTACTAAAACTAGACATCGAGAGAACTCCAAAACTGTTTTTATTTAGTCTGAATGATAATGTTTAGGCTCTTTTTGAGCATTTTTCATAGACGATGCAAAGTTTTACCTTCCCTTACTCTAAAAAATTGTGAATAATATAATAGAATGAAGATTATTTTTATCCTTGTTAAGCCACCATTCCGTTTATCCTCCCTTGGATACCAATTAATAAGAAAAAATAGTTTTTTCATCTTTATTTTAAGATTTTTGATGAAGAAAATTTGTCAAAATGGTTCAATTTTAATTTTAATTTCAAATCTACATGAGGAAACCTCTTTAACCAGCATGAAATATCTCTTCCATGAATATAGAAAACAAGAAAATAAACATTTACACCCCCTTCGTCCCCCAAAGGGGGGTTTAACCCACCCATAGACCCACCTGTAGTTGAACTTTTCTTTAAAATTATCATTTCCTAAACACTAATTGGGTGATAACCTTATAATTTTTTGGAATTTTTCAATTCTGAAAACGCTTTTGACCTACATTTTCAAAACTCTTTCTTTTGATATATAAACATGTCAATATATTTCAAGAATATTTTTTTCCCCTTCAGATGACTTATGACCACCCTTGACCACCATTCAATGACCACCTTGAAAAGATCATGACCACACCTAGAGAAAAATTAACCTCAGAAATGAGCTCCAGCTGTGCTCTATTACCTATATTTAGACATGTCACATGCTATAACCTCGTTTTTACTACCTATGACCACTCTTGACCACTTTTTCAATGACCACCTGGGAGGTCATGACCGGTCCTAGAGAAAAAACCCCAAGAATTAATAACTTGCCCCAAAAACCCCTATAAACATGTATGATATGTTTTTAGCTATAAATACTGGCCCACTGTGCATTGTATTGGTAAGATTTCTGAAAGTCTAAAAAATCTTGCCGTTTTTTCGTCACGGTCTACAGGAAATTAATTTGATATAAAAAATAAGTGCGAATTTATGAGTTCAGAGGTGCATTCCAGTCTTGAAATGAATGGCATTAAGAAATTACGTCTACTAGTCCCTATTAGTGAAGAAAATAATTTCATATTTAATTTGGGTTGCCTTTAGGTTGAAGAACCATGAGAACCAGACGTACAGTGCTCTGATGGGATTGAAATGTAAGCGTCGAGTTCTCCTCTCCGGAACCCCGATACAGAACGATCTGCTCGAGTACTTCTCTCTCATACACTTCGTCAACGAGGGGATCCTCGGCTCCTCCCAGGAGTTCAGGAAAAGGTTTGAGAACCCGATCCTTCGAGGGAGGGATGCCGACGCGACGGATGAGGATCATAAGAAGGGTGTGGAGAAGCTCCAAGAAATGGCTGAAATAGTGAACAGGTATCAAAGTATTTGAAAATCCAGATGTGAAAAGAAACCTAGTATCTCTTGGGTTTTGTTTTTGTGCAATTCAAATTTTTTTTATTTTTTTTCTATATCTGAGCCATTTTTATTTTCCATTTGTTTCTGTTGAACTCCAAACAATTCTAAACAAAAAATCCTTGAAATTTATTCCCAAATAATAATTATCTCTGTTTTAGATGCATCATTCGGCGAACCCAGGCTTTACTTTCCAAATACCTGCCTGTCAAGATAGAACAAATTCTTGTGTGTAAACTAACCCAGCTTCAAATGGACATCTACCAAGCTTTCTGCAACTCCGACACCATCAGGAGATCCTTAAAGTCAGAGGACGGAGCCAAGATGACCTCCAGCAGTCTGGCCGCAATTACGTCGCTGAAGAAACTTGTAAATCATCCCGACCTTGTGTTTCCGGCCTGCAGGGAGAGAAAGGAAGGATTTGAAACAGCGGCGGAATTTTTCCCTCCGGGACATGATCCGGACCGGGGACGGTTGCGACCGGAACTCTCCGGTAAGCTGTCGATCCTCGACTGTCTCCTGGCAGTTGTCAAGACGACGACGACAGACAAGGTGGTTTTAGTCTCCAACTACACCCAGACACTGGACATGTTTGAGAGATTGTGCGCCTTACGGAACTATGGTTTTGTCCGCCTGGACGGATCAATGTCTATCAAAAAGCGCGCGAAAATTGTAGATCAGTTCAATGACCCGAGCAGTAGCTATTTTATTTTTATGCTCTCAAGTAAGGCGGGAGGATGTGGTCTTAATCTCATCGGAGCAAACAGGTATACAACTTTTTTTTNTGTTGGATTCTTTAAAGAAATCTGTAAAAATCTAGTAATTGATAAGGTACAATCGAGGAGAAGATATTACAGAGACAAGAACACAAGAAAGCTCTGAGCTCTTGTGTAGTTGATCAGGTAGGAGAATAGCATATTCTTGTTGGATCTGCATTGAGTGCAGGGTGCACCATTAAACATGACAATTGAAAGTTATCTTTGACAGATATCTTATGATAAAAAATTGTCCACCACCTATGAATTTTGAAAGAAAAATCTTAGTTTCAGACGATTATAGTTTTTGGAATAGTTTGTCATGTATAATAATATTGTGAGAAATTGTGAGAGATATTTTTTTATTTATAATAAACTTAACTTTTGGGGAAATTATCTCTTCCTTTTTCTTAATTGGTTATTTTTGGTTCTCCATGGAGTGTTATGTTCTAAGTTTAAAATGTTGCTCGTGATTTTAGGTCAGGTTCAGGTTTCTATTTTATTTTAATTAGTCTTCAGACCAGGGAATAGGAATAAAAGGAAAGGAAATGGCGCTGGTCTGACATAAGAAAGCCAGTCGCACTGCTTTGCAGACAAGTTCGGTAAACCTTACACACACACTTTTGGTACAGACACAAAACATGACTTACAGTCAAGGAAATTGCAAAACAATGTTGTCAATTATAATTGAGCTTGAATAACGGGTAGTTTATTGTAAACTTTAATCAAATTATATTACTTGCATGGAAATTTGGCTTTATAGTGTTGACTTAAATATATAAATAATATGCTACATATATATTAAGATTATTTTTAAGTAAACAATTAACAATAAACAAATGTACTCTCCTAGACTGTACAAATACCGAGATTCGTATGTACTGAATATACCTACAGTACACACCTTCGGTTCGGTAAACTTTACACACACTCTTTTGGTACAGACACACACACATGACGTTTCCGCCCCCTGCTTCAGACTGCCAATTTACTGAGAAGGTTAATTTCAATATGATTTGAGTTGAAGATAAACTCACCAGACTCAAGATTGGCCATTCTAGGTTAGGTATTGATGGATACAAGTTAAATACAATAGATACAATGAAAAGTTAGATGGTTTTATTAAAAAGCGAAAATTAATAATGATAATTTTCAGCAATTTGGTTTTCGTAATTGATGGAGAATGGGAACATTCGTTGGACAAGTCAAAGACTATGTCTGAGACAGGTTTGGACTCAAAGATGGAACCGTAGCCGTAAATTTATCCGGAAGAAATTCCGTGTCTATACATTCTTTGGAATGTATGATCAATCTAAAGCCTTGAGATGTGTTGGAACTAAATTAAGGAGTTAAGCTTTTACTAAAAGTTTTCTAATCCCTATATCTCTCCAACCTGATGGTGTAAACCTTTGATATTTCAAACTTATTTTATATAATTTAAAGTTCGAAGTACCTAAGGTCTTCAACTTTGGATTGCAAAGATAATGGGATTTAAAAAATTGAGTTTGTGGCAAAGACACAATTCCTTGAGAAGCCAGTAAATCACTTCATTTAGGGTCTCCAGGATATGGAGCTCAAGCAGGTTTGGGACTCTGGAGTCTCATTCGTCTTTCATCACAAGTCCCACGATCAAATTAAAGTTGTTTAATAAATCTAATCTTCTCAATCTATTACGCTTACAGATGTATTATTGGATTTTCCCAAGTCATTTCCTAAACCTATTACGCTTACTGATGTATTATTGAATTTTCCAAAGTCATTTCCTAAACCTATTACGCTTACTAATGTATTATTGAATTTTCCAAAGTCATTTTCTAAACCTATTACGCTTACTGATGTATTATCGAATTTTCCCAAGTCATTTCCTAAACCTATTACGCTTATTGATGTATTATTGAATTTTCCAAAGTCATTTTCTAAACCTATTACGCTTACTGATGTATTATCGAATTTTCCCAAGTCATTTCCTAAACCTATTACGCTTATTGATGTATTATTGAATTTTCCAAAGTCATTTTCTAAACCTATTACGCTTACTGATGTATTATTGAATTTTCCAAAGTCATTTCCTAAACCTATTACGCTTACTGATGTATTATGAAAATTTCCCAAGTCATTTGCTAAACCTATAACGCTTACTGATGTATTATTGAAATTTCCCTAGTCATTTCCTAAACCTATTACGCTTACTGATGTATTATTGAAATTTCCCAAGTCATTTTCTAAAACTATTACGCTTACTGATGTATTATTGATTTTTCCCTAGTCATTTCCTAAACCTATTACGCTTACTGATATTGAAATTTTTCAAGTTAAATCTTATTGTATTCAAAATTTATGTGAATTAACTGTAAAATTACTGAATTTGAAAAGTATTTATGTAAAATGAAGATCGATTGTGAAAGAGTTGTAATCAAGTCAAATATTTTTTATTTATCTGATATATTTTACAAAAATATATTACATAATTTAAATTCTATCCGATAACAAAATAAAAAAGACACCATATGTAACGTTTATCAATTATATGATCATGAATTATACTCAACCATTATTCCATTGAATGTAAGTTGCAATATTGGGTTTTGAGAAAATTTAAAAAATAGTAAATATTTTATAGGTATTTTGGTGACTTTTAAAAAGCAGAGCAAAATTTTTGAAACAATCACAAATTTTCGAATCTCTTTAACTTTTCAAACTGATGGTGTAAACCTTTGATACTTCATAATTTCAAAGTTATAGGAAATCGGAGTTTGTGACATAAACTCAATTCCTTTAACCCTAAAACCAAGATTTAATGGACAAAGTAAAAATCTACAATTCCGGTTTAACCAGAGTTTACAAAATTACGATGGAAGCACATTTTAAGTTGAGCAACAGACTCGACTATTAATGACAAAATAAAATAAAAAGCGAAGCAAGAAGGCTACAAAAAGACATGTGAAATCGGAAGACGACTGTAAAGACTCAAGTTAAACTTTGTCTTATCAATATTCACGCGAAGCAACTCACAAGTCCCGCAAAATGGAAGCATAGCTTTAATAATCTGGGCTGAAAAACCTAACCGCTGAGTAATTGAAACCCCAACTTCATGATATGATATAATGCAGTGAGCATGAAACACAACATTGAGCAGTGACCAATTTCACTCCATGAATTGCTTTTTAAGCTATGATAAGATCAAATGCACAAAAATGTCGTCTTTTTATATATATGTAGTTTTATGGGTCCTACTGTATAAAAGTAAATTAATTTTGGATAAGTTATCACATAAAAGTTGCTTCTCCACTCATATCGTTCAATTCAGCTTGCCGTACTCGTGATCGTGCCTAGAAATCAATAAATCAATATCTTACAAGAACAATTGTCGATAACAAACTAATCGGGAAAGCAAAGTCAAACTCTTGGACAATTGTTGATATAAGAATTAAGATCGCAACGATTTTGAAAATAACAAACGATTCAGCTAAAGGACCTTTTTAACACACGGTTCAAAAAGATTAAAAATGTGTCCAGCCCTAGGCATATACATATTTTCAATAATAAACGTTAAGTTTACAACAATATAAGATCAACAGATCATGTGCTTGTTTTTAGCTTCTAGATCCAGGAGAAGGTAGATTTTTGATAATCTGGGGAAAGCATGAAATATTGGACAATAAAAGGCAAAGTGACAGAATTTTCAAAAAGGGGTGATACACATGATAATATACACCCCTGAATTAAACCATCCTCCCTGCTTGCATATTTACCTGAAAAAGTTCTCTAATAAGAGCTCCCTTCTCTTGGTCTAAAAGAGTTATAGCATTACTCTTCTTTCCAACCTCTTCAGTTAATAACCTTAACAGAAGAGTTATTAGTTGATTTAGGAGAGTTATATTCTCTTCTTCCCAACCTCTTCAGTCAGTAACCTTAACAGAAGAGTTATTAGTTGGTTTAGGACAGTTATATTACTCTTCTTCCCAACCTCTTCAGTTAATAACCTTAATAGAAGAGTTATTAGTTGGTTTAGGAGAGTTATATTACTCTTCTTCCCAACCTCTTCAGTAAGTAACCTTAATAATAGAGTTATTATTTGGTTTAGGAGAGATATATTTCTCTTCTTCCCAACCTCTTCAGTTAGTAACCTTAAGAGAAGATTTATTATTTGGTTTAAGAAAGTTATATTACTCTTCTTCCCAAACTTTTCAGTTAGTAACCTTAACAAATGAGTTATTAGTAGATCTTAGAGAGTTATATTACTCTTCTTCCCAACCTCTTCAGTTAGTAACCTTAAGAGAAGAGTTATTAGTTGGTTTAAGAGAGCTATATTCTCTTCTTCCCAACCTCTTAAAATGAGCATTTCGGAAAATTAAGGAATTTTTGTATATTTAAAAGGAGGGGCTAAAAATCCAGAAGTAGTCCATTCAAATACATTTTTTAAAATCACTATCCTTGGAGGGCGTGTGAACATGTTCTCTTTGTGTACATCGTAAAACAAAACAAAAAGAATTCGCGGATTTTCACAAAAAATTTCGTGGATTTTCAAAATTTTCAAAAATTTAATGAAGATCGAATTTTGATGGAGACAAATATTTGAAATTTTGATCATTCATAAAAATTCCCTGGGGCTCCGTGAGGTCCCACAAAAAATTTGGGCCCGATCGGTTCAGCCGTTTTGACGTTTATTGGATACAAACAAACAAACAGACAAGCCAAATTTATATACAGATTAAATTTAAACAAAAATGTAAAACTGACTTGTTTTGTTCCTTGAGTCTAGTTATCTGTCTCTCCATCTCCTTGTGGTCCCTCTGGTTGAGGTTGAGGGTTGTCCGACCACCCAGGGCCAGGTTCATGCCCAGGGGGAGACTCATGTCCGCGGTCATCAAGCTGTTCAAGTGCTGGTTCACCTCCTCTATCCTAAAAATAGAAATTGTTCTAGATTTTAAGATTCAGGGGTAGAATAACAAGTTTTTAAGATTCATTGTTAGTGTATATTCCAAAAAATGTAATTTCTTCTTTCCCCCCAACCACCCCAAAAAAATTATTCGAAGATTATGGATCTAGCGTATCGGATCCGGATCCGGAAAAAAACAATAAGGTTTTCATCCAGAACCTTTCAAAATTTCAACACAATATCTATTAAAAAAAAACTACCTAGCAAGTTGAAAAACGAGTTTTTCTCGTGAAATCTCCGTATCTCCCCTGTTCCCCCCATTCCTAGCTATATTCCTCATTCGTTCCTAAAATATGAAATTTATTAAGATTTTGAATTTTTAAATGCTATCGACATTAAACATTAAAATTCAAAACAGTAGTATGTTTACCAGATACCTGTACAATAGAATATGTACCTGTACAACTGCCAGTTGATCCCTGTACCACTGTTCTGTTCTTTCTACAGTTTGAAGACCTTTCAGTAAAGCATCCCTCTCTTCTTCCACACTCTTCATCCTCTTCAACTTTACACAAATAAATTTTGTGAGATGTCGATGAAAAGTGTTTCTTTAAGGATTATTTAAAAATTAAGTTGCAATAAATAAATTAACAATTATTAAAAAAACATCGGACCTTCATAAACTTTCTTAAAGTACTTCTTAACTCTTAAACTTTTTCCCTTCGAAAAATCAACATTTTAATTTTCTTTCTAAAATGTCTAAATCTAAGAAGTATTATCAGATAAATGATTGATTAACAAGTGATAAAAAATAAGGAAATGCTAAAACTAGAAACATTTTGAATCGGAAAGTTAAAGGTTTTTTATGATGTGAAATATCAATATACCAATCCATAATCTATTCCATTCTGTAGAGTATGCCTCCTAGAATGAGACTCTCTCCGCCTTGGCTGCTTCTTTGCTTGCTCTTGCTCCGACAGCTGCTGAACACCGCGTTCAGTTCTCTCAAACGGTTGCCTCCGAGTCCGCTGATCTATTTCTCCGTCGGAGGCAGCTCCGCCATCCCCTGTCCTCCGATCTAGTCCCTGGAGAGGATGGCGGGGAGGTTTCGGAGGTCCAGAGTGTAGAGGAGGGTCAAGACGGGAGGGAAGGGAGAGAGCAGGAGATGGATTTCCTAGTATTCTTTGCTGGCGAAGCACAGATACTCGGCTTGATTGATCCTCATTTTCAGAAAATGTGTCCTAATAAAATTCAAATATTAAAAAATCATCAAAAATAATATGTTTGTGCATTTATGCTTTTCCCAAGATTGGTCATTAATTTGTTATTAAGTACTTAGACGATAATCTTTACCCGCTATCAGGCTGTCCCTAAAGACATTACCCTTAGAGTAATAAAACGAAGAGGTAAAGCTTACCTTAGATGTACACAATCGACCTCCCTATTAATTATTAATAGAGTGGTCGGTTGTGTACATCACGATATGTTTACGATCTAACACTGTACACTTGTATATAGAGTGATCGTATCTCTTGGGGGTCTGGACATGTTTGAGAGATTGTGCGCCTTACGGAACTATGGTTTTGTCCGCCTGGACGGATCAATGTCTATCAAAAAGCGCGCGAAAATTGTAGATCAGTTCAATGACCCCAGCAGTAGCTATTTTATTTTTATGCTCTCAAGTAAGGCGGGAGGATGTGGTCTTAATCTCATCGGAGCAAACAGGTATACAACTTTTTTTTAATTCTGCTAACGTTATATTCTTAAAACATTATGATACGACTAATTCCACAATCACAGAGATTCGAATAGAAGAAAAATAATACTATTCCGCGGTATGAATTTGTTCAGTCCCTTTGAGCCTGAAAATGAGTTCAAGTGTACAATTCATGTAAACGTTAACAGATTATACGTAGTACATTAAAATAAAACAGTATGATCCCTGGACAATGGACATATACGTTACTATTTCTTCTTTTTATATAGTTTATGCTAAAATGAATAAAATAGTTTTCAAGAAAATGTTTTTCTACAAAAAGATGTTCAAGGGCCCAAAAGGTTATAATGCACAAATGTATGAAGTACACCTGCAGCTAGTATGGAATCAGTACAACAAAATGGCGGTTTTACACATTTTTACCTTCTATTACTCTATACGTATCTATTCTCTTTGTCCACTATGCCTAGATTGGTTATGTTTGATCCTGACTGGAACCCTGCTAATGATGAGCAGGCTATGGCCCGGGTCTGGAGAGATGGACAGAGGAAAAAGTGCTATATTTACAGGATGCTTGCTTTAGGTAAAATTAAATATTTACTAGATGAAAACATTATTATCTTATAATAGTAATCTTGCTGTCCAATTCATTCCACCAGTTTTGTTTATCAAGCTTTAAACAAAACATTTCGCTGATTACGATTATTATTATTATTATTATTAGTATCATTAGTTTTAGTAGTATTAATAGTATTAGTGGTATTTGGAGTATTTGAGGATGTTGACTGCAAACATTTGACAATTTTCAAATTTGTAGGTTTTCAATTTATTAGCTAAAAGTTCTATCAAAAATATTAAGTTTCTATGGGCATGCCTTTAGCTTAAAACTTGAATGACATTCTTATTTCAAACATTTTTATTCTTTCTTCTCTTCAACTCTTCTTAAGCGCGGGGGGGGGTGCTTGTGTATTTCACAAATATAAATAAACTGAAAAAAACGATGCGCACGCATCTTTAATTGTGACTTCTTTTCTTAAATTATGTTAAATATTAAAACATTAAAAATTAAAAAAAACAGTGAATTCATTTTTATACTCTCCTAAAGTTGAGAGCAATGGTGTTGCATTTTTCTTCAAACTCGGTTATTTCCCTGACAAATATCTCCTTCTTTAAAATGGTTTAAGCAAATACAACTTGAGGGATATACTCTGGAGTCTCCCAACCTTAAAAGGTCTAGCCATGCACAATGTTTTGGTAATTTGAAATAACTCACATTTTTACAAGAAGAATTGTTTGTGCAGTTTTTCACGATGCAAAACTTGGTCATACTTTTACTAACATAAAGAAAAAACTAAACTGGAATGTACTGCACAGTATACACTCCTGTGTTTACAATCCATATTTAGTGTCTATCTAATTATCAATACTAATTTTCAATTATCTACATTTTACCACCCCAAAGAAATACGATCACACTCTATACAAGTGTACAGTGTCAGATCGTAAACATATCGTGATGTACACAACCGACCACTCTATTAATTAATTAATAGGGTGGTCGATTGTGTACATCTGAGCTAAGCTTCACCTCTTCGTTTTATTACTCTATGACATTACCCTTCGAGTTTAGTCGTAAAAGTAAGTGAAGTATGTATGGGGTCAATTGATTAATTACACTGTAAAATACTTACATTGGATTGTGATGAGGAATCTTGCCGCGCTCTTTCTTTTTGGTTTCGTAGCAAACAAATCTTTAACCCAGCACAGAATCTATAAAGGAATTCAGTCTTAGCCACCAACTCTGATTTTCTAATCCCTACTTCTATGCAACCCTATGTCGTAGGCTCTAGATATTTCAAACTTTTAATTTAATTCAAATTTAAATTTGAAATATCGAATGGTTTACACAATCAGGTTTCAAATATATTGGGATTAGAAATTTTAGGTTGTGGCAAAGACTTAATTCCTCAGTATTTTTAAATTTTTAAAGATAAAAATATTTTTTTTACTTCCTAACCTTTCAAAGCTGAGTTCTCCAGAGTCAGGTGTTACTTTTCTAAACAAAGTTAAAAAAAATTGAATTAAAATCAATTAACGTTTACAATGAATTATGTACGGATAGGCGTAAAAACAGCCCCCTCCCCCAACCTCAAAGTTTCAATTTAAAATAACTAAAGGGTTTTGACGGAACATTTTATAGATAGGGCTGACAATTTACAGAAATAAAGAATCAACTATCTACATGAATTATCCTATATCCAACTATATCTATGAAATGTTCTATCCATGTCCATCTTTGAATTATCCTATATCCAACTATCTATGAAATGTTCTATCCATGTCCATCTTTGAATTATCCTATATCCAACTATCTATGAAATGTCCTAGCCACGTCCATCTTTGAATTATCCTATATCCAACTATCTATGAAATGTTCTATCCATGTCCATCTTTAAATTATCCTATATCCAACTATATCTATGAAATGTTCTATCCATGTCCATCTTTGAATTATCCTATATCCAACTATCTATGAAATGTTCTATCCATGTCCATCTTTGAATTATCCTATATCCAACTATCTATGAAATGTACTATCCATGTCCAATGTCCATCTTTGAATTATCCTATATCCAACTATCTATGAAATGTTCTATCCATGTCTATCTTTGAATTATCCTATATCCAACTATCTATGAAATGTCCTAGCCATTGAATTATCCTATATCCAATTATAATCTATGAAATGTCCTAGCCATGTCCATCTTTGGATTATCCTATATCCAACTATCTATGAAATGTCCTAGCCATGTCCATCTTTGAATTATCCTATATCCAGCTATCTATGAAATGTCCTATCCATGTCCATCTTTGAATTATCCTATGTATATCCAATTATAATCTATGAAATGTTCTATCCATGTCCATCTCTGAATTATCCTATATCCAACTATATCTATGAAATGTTCTAGCCATGTCCATCTTTGAATTATCCTATATCCAACTATCTATGAAATGTCCTATCCATGTCCATCTTTGAAATATCCTATGTATATCCAATTATAATCTATGAAATGTCCTAGCCATGTCCATCTTTGAATTATCCTATATCCAACTATAATCTATGAAATGTTCTAGCCATGTCCATCTTTGAATTATCCTATATCCAATGCATAAACATCTTGAAATATGTGTTGTTTGATTGCTCTAGAAAGGACAGACCCCAGTTCTGAGGTTTAGTTAACATTTTTAGCAAAATCTATAAAGTGCTGCTTCTAAAAATACCTAAACTTTAACCCTTATACCTGAGACAATCTATAACTCCCGAAGGAACTGCGCCCCCCTCCTCCTCTTTCTGCGTCCACCTGGTCTCAATATCCGTCAAGGAGATGAACCCGCTCTTCTTGTCGTCTAGAACGTCGAACAAGGTTCTCATTGCGGAAACGAATTTGACCGGAAGACCTTGAAGCGCCTTACTGTTGTATTGGGCCGAGGTTTCATCTTGGAAATGTTTCCCCGACATTTTACCTGAAGAATAAAGAATACAGAAATTTAAAATTTTTTTGACTATCGGTAATTTCTTTGAAAACGATTTTTGGACCCTCCCCCCCCCCCCCCATCCTATTAATTTTGTATATTCTGTATAATTGATCGTGTGGCCGCAACCTGTCCTAGCCGCGGCGCTCAGCTCCCTAGCCTGTCCTAGCCGCAACGCTTGGCCCCCTATAGCCTATCCTAGCTGCAGCGCTCGGCCCAGAAATTGTGTTAACCTAACACTAAAATAATAATAAATAAATGTACAAAATTGATAGGAAGGCCGGGGGAGGGGGGTCCAAAAATCGTATGGACGGACCCCGACTATCAAATTTTCAAAAAGAGGTATTGCCCCCCTCCCCCTCCTCTCATCACAGTTTAGAACTTTATATATTACGATATATGTTATTTTGGGTCGGGATAAAGCTTTTTTTCGGATCCACAGATATTTGTTCAATCGAAATAAAAATTAATCATTGAGATAAAATTGTTAGATAAAACCTCTCTATAAAACGTATTGCATTGTAATTAATTATATTTCTAAACGATTGGGTTGAACTTGAATCTTGATTCTAATTCCGGGTGAATTTCTATTAAAATTTTTTCTAAACACCCCTTTTCAATGTTTATGTCCATAAGTGCGTTAGAGTACAAATTAAAAATATTGTGTACGTTGAGTACAGTTGTTCACACAGTACATGTAAAGTGTAAACTCAAAATATTCTTAACACAATAAAACCCCACTCTTTATTTTTTTAGGTACCGAGTGTCCCACGAAACATGACAGTTGGTAAATAGTTTAGATTGTCTTTTACCATAATTTGTTAAGTTGTTTGATACCAAAGATCAATAAAAATTTTATATGGAAGTCATTTTAAATTAAAATTGATTTCAAAGAAAAAGATAATGAAACAAAAGATTTTTTTAACTAAAAATAACGATTTATTAAATGTCATGTTTCGTGGGACACCCTGTTACATAACGAAATGTGTATAGTTAGGTATATTTTTGAAAAAATGTGTTGTGAATTGTGAAACCTGTTGCGGATCTAGCGCTGAATACCCCGTTCGTTTCTTTCAGTTTCAAATCCCTGGCTTGCGCGTTCAGGAAATTAAACATGGCAGCTAATAGATTGCGCGCTTTTTTAACAAACTTCAGCATTAGAACATACATTTTTAATTTACGACTCATTAACGAAATCGATATTTGCGTGAAGAATTTAATAAAGTGTTATCATATCGATAATGATAATCAATTCATCGAAAATTTGATATTTTTAGCTATCAAAAGATTGTGATAATTATTGTGTATAAATTAGTATTTTTGCAGTTTTTACTAACATCTGACTGAATTGTTGAACTCTTATTAACGTTCCTTGTTCTATTATTAGGAATTAGAGGTGAAATTAACGTAATATTACAAAAAGTAATATTTTTTTCAGAGACAAGTTTTGCTGCCCGAGAGAGCTATTAAGCAGCCCCGGGTTGCGAAATGAATTCCAAGGGTCCCCCAATTAATGGAAAAACTTTCCTCACAGAAACCCAGGCAGCCCAAATATTGGGCAAACTTAAAGTTATCCGCAATGTTGACGGTCAAACGATCAAAATTCAGACAATACAGACCAATCCGCAGACTGGAGCTAAAAAGATCGTTGCGATCCCAATTCAGTCTATGCCGAACTCTGGTCAAAACCTGAGCGTGAGCCCGATGAAAACCCTCCGAACCTCCGAGGGTACAATCCTACCTCAGGGTCGGACTATTAAAATCAGTTCTCCGAGAACCTCAGGATACACAGGACAGGTTTCAATTGTCAAACCCGTGACCTCGATGCCAAGTTTTCATACGGTCACCTCAGCCCAGCTCCAGTCCTTGCAGAACATGCATGGAATCCATTCCGTTGCCGGAGTTCAGAGCCTTCAACCCTCCGGGTCTAATATTCATACAGTTACTCTCACGCCTCAGAAAACGATGCTCACGGCGCAACGGTTTCCCCGGCAGAACTTGCAGTTTGAATCTGTCGGGGTGAAACGGCCGGCCGAGACTGATCCTTTAGATATTTCAGAATCAAAAAGACGAAAGACTGAGAAAGGTAAGAGATAAAGCTATATTTTCATTTTTAATATGCAACGTAGACGTGTTTTAAAATGATCTTTATTTATCGAGTGGCAACTCGGATTCACAATGGTACCTTTACCCTATTATCTGAGCGCAAGAATAGGGAAAGATTCTCGTTACTCAATCGGAAAAAAATGTTTATTTCTGGAAAGCATAAACATCTTGAAATACGTGTTGTTTGATTGATTGATTAACGTTTATTTCTATTTGCATCCATCCTAAGGCGAGCACCTTAAATGCGCGTGTTTAAATTAATTTTTGTGTTTAGGTGGGAAGGGTTTGAGACACTTCTCCATGAAGGTGTGTGAGAAGGTAAAGGCAAAGGGAACAACCTCCTACAACGAGGTGGCCGACGAACTCGTTGCAGAGCTCACGGATCCCAGGTCAGGAGCTTAATATTCCGGGATATATATTCTCCAGAGTCCAAGACATTAAGGAAAGATCTATACCTTGCAAATATTTTATTAAAATAATAATTAAGACTACAAGTGCCAGGGTATATAATATATATTACCTAAAATTTATATAGTAACTAAATTCGCCAAAGTTTTATTGTAGGAGGGGGGGGGGATTTTTACTAAAAACATATGCCCCTACGTATGTTTTTTCCAATGAGGTTATTGATGAAAATAAAATCTAAACCTTGAACCAGATTTCATGAGTTGTGAGAAGTTGTTGAACTTCGTAGACCTTAGTTGAACCACTTACCCTGTGCTCCGGGTCAAGTGGGAGAAATGGTTCAACCAAGTTTACCTTTTTAATTAATTCTGGTCTTTGATAAAGTTATCTTTTTAGTTTAAAGCTTTTAGGGCTTTTAGGGATTTTTGGGCGCTTCGCGCCCATCTTCTATTTCAATTGGGAACATGTTCCCTTTAAGTACATTTTAAAACAAATACAAACACGGATTTTATGATTGAAGTTCGAGGATTTTCAAAAATCGAAATTTGTTAGCGGAAAATTTTTGAAAAATTCGATCATCCATAAACCTTCCCTGGGGTCGCGCGAGGTCCCACAAAAAATGTTGGCCCGATCGGTTCAGTCGTTTTGACGTTTGTTGGATACAAACAGACAGACAAGCAAAGTATATGTATAGATTATTTTGTTTTCTTGGTATATTTTCCTTGACAAGAACATATCTGTTGTAAAATCAGATATATACATTACAACTATGATATGTTATTTCTGGTTCTATTATAACCTATCTACTATCTCCAGGTGCCAGTCTCCCAGTGATCCTCAATACGATCAGAAGAATATCAGAAGAAGAGTTTATGATGCGCTTAACGTTCTTATGGTAGGTTCAAAGAGATGAAAAAGAAGACAAAAAAACTAAACAAAATTATTATCTAGAATAAATTACATAGGGAACATGAAATTATTGATGATAGGAAGATAGGGAAGGGAAGAACGAAGATAGCGAATTGAAAAATTAATGTAGGGATGGAAAAGCGAAGATAGATATGGGAAAACGAAAATAGGGATGGGAAAATGAGTATGGAGATTGGGAATTGGGGAGTCAGATATGGACAGATATGGTATAAATGAAGATAGAGGGAAAATGAAGATAGATACATGGGAAAATGAAGTCAGATATGGTATAAATGAAGATATAAATGGGAAAATGAAGATAGATACATGGGAAAATGAAGTCAGATATGGTATAAATGAAGATATAAATGGGAAAATGAAGATAGATACATGGGAAAATGAAGTCAGATATGGTATAAATGAAGATATAAATGGGAAAATGAAGATAGATATGGTATAAATGAACATAGAGATGGGAAAATGAAGTCAGATATGGTATAAATGAACATAGAGATGGGCAAATGAAGATAGATATGGTATAAATGAAGATAGATATGGGAAAATGAGTATAGAGATGGTCAATTAAGACTGAGATGGGGAATGAAGATAGAGATGGGAAAATGAAGATAGACATGAGAAAATGAGTATAGAGATGGGGAATTAAGATTGAGATGGGAAAATGAAGATAGATATGGGAAAATGAGTATAGAGATGGGGAATTAAGATAGATATGGGGAAATGAAGATAGATATGGGAAAATGAAGATAAGCGATGGGAAAATGAAGATAAGAGATGGGAAAATGAAGATAGATATGGGAAAATGAAGATAGATATGGGAAAATGAAGATAGATATGGATAAATTAAGATAGGGATGGGAAAATAAAGATAAGAGATGGGAGGGGGATGAAGACAAGACATGGGGAAAATAAGACACTGATGGGGATAAAAAGATTTAAATTTGCTAATGAAGATGGAGATGGAGAAACGAAGATAGAGATGGGAGAAACAAAAATAGAGATGGGAAAAGAAAGAACTATAGAGATGGGAAAACTAAGTTAAAAATTTTCAATAATCAGATGTCAGCAAACAAAAGTGTGAAAACAAATTTAAAAAAAGAAAAATGCGAGAAAGAGAAATCGGAAAAATCTATCAAATATAATTTTGAAATAAATTAATTTTACTTTTATTATGTTATTTAGGCCATGAATATAATCAGTAAAGAGAAGAAGGAGATCAGATGGTTAGGTCTCCCGACCAACTCTATCCAGGAAGCTAACTCTATGGAGTCAGAGAAGGCGGAAAGGTTGGAGAGAATCAAAACGAAAACAAAACAATTGCAGGATCTCATTCTTCAACAGATTGCTTTCAAGGAAACCTACTCATTCATTAAACGGGAATATGTTGTTCTGATATTTTGCAATTATTTTATTTGGCTATGTGGTAAATTCTGTCACTTTCATATACATTTTCTCTGTCCCGAAAATCCGCAAATCATTTATACAGAAAACCACTGTTCGAATTTAATAAACATATCTTGAACATTTTTGTTCCTACAAAGGTTTAATGAATACCTTTGTAAATCATATTCGCAACTCTTTAAATGGAGGTTCAGTTCAAAAATAGATTTTCATTAAGAACTAACGTGGAAACCCAGTGCGCGCGCTGCCAAGGTTACTAAAAGTTACTCCCGCCGTATACCCTCACTTGAAGGATTTTACCGGGAAACTAAATATCCGCTATTAAAGTCGACCCACTCATTTAAAAATCACAAAATCAAACTAAGAACATTCCCGAGGGTCTCCCAAGTTCCCCAATCAAAATTTGAGGCAAATTGGTCCCGGGGTCCATGAGTTATGATCGAATAAACAAACAGATAGACAGACAAACTGAGATTACAACTTTATATATAAAAATTAACGACAATCGACATTAAAGTTTTGTTCATTTGCAAGGAGTGCCATGCTCAAAATAAAATTAAAACCCTGTCAAGGCATACTTGTCCCATATATTTGCATCAAATATTCAAAATATATAATGAATATCATTAAAATAAATCCTTCTCTTCCCCCGCCCTTGTCTTGAGTAGGCTTGGTAATAGAACCTGGTAGAGAGGAACCGAGAAATGGAGAAAATGACAGGAACGCCCACTCCCAACTCCGCCATCCAGCTCCCCTTCATTATCGTCGGGACCAGCAAGAAGACAGTGATTGACTGCTCCATCTCCAACGACAAGATGGAGTACCTCTTCAACTTCGACAACACGTTCGAGATCCACGACGACATGGAGGTCTTGAAGAAGATGAAGATGACAATGGGTTTAGACAATGGAAGCATAGATGAAGAAAGCTTGAGACGCGCGCGCTCAATGGTTCCGCGCGCGCTTCAGCCCTACGTGGATGAACTTGCGAATAAAGGAGCTGAAGCTTATTCCTCGCTTATGCCAAAGGTTTGTCTGCTTATTATATGGTTACAAACATTCAAAATCAAGGGGGGTGGAATCCACCAACCGGGAAAGGGTTGATTTTAAAATAAAAATGTTGACGACTTATTTCTTTTAATAAACATCTTACGTTAAGTTTTCGTTAGGGATCTCATATAAAATATATTATCATAAAAAAATCAAACCACAAAACATATTCAAGAAAATCTATAGGAAAAGTTAGTATCAACATTTTCTCAACTCGAATGCAACTTATGCAAACATCTTACGTTAAGTTTTCGTTAGGGATCTCATATAAAATATATTATCATAAAAAAATCAAACCACAAAACATATTCAAGAAAATCTATAGGAAAAGTTAGTATCAACATTTTCTCAACTCGAATGCAACTTATGAAATGTTCAATTTTTATTTAAAGTTAAAATTGATTACAATTCAAAATGTTTGGTTTTCATATGCTCTGATATATTATTTTGTATTTTGATAGGTTTTCTTTTCTGTTTTGATATCTTTTGTTTTGATATGTTCCTTTGAGAAATGTTTGTGATGATATGTTTTGTATTTGATCCTTATTTAGCGCCTATATCTTACAAACAAATATATATATATATTTAGACGAGCTTATTGTAACCGCAAAGATAATATTAAATATGAAAACTAGAATCAAATAATTGCTAAAAGTTTAGTTGAATTATAAATAGTATTTCCAGGCAATCATATTTTGCTTGTAAAACAAATCTATCAATTTATGTAAAATGTTCTAAATTTAGACCATGAATATTAGGTTTCAGACACAGCTTATTAAATCGTTTTAAGGGAGGTGTAATGTCTAGAGACGCTCCATTTCTAGAGTGGTGTTTTCGATTGACAATAATACCCTTTAAATCTTTGATTCTTATTAATCTACAGAAACGTTTGTTATTGTATAAACAATTGATTTGCAAGCTGTTTTTTAATTAAGTTAAAGTAACCTCAGTTTTATAGCATTTTTTAACTTCTGCTATGTCTCATCGTGGTTTAAGATGTTGTCCGTTTCGTTCGTATTTCAAGCAATCATTATTATGCAAATTTGTACAAAAAAAATTTTAATTTGGCTTATTTTGTTCAGGTCTCAACCCCATTAGTTAAGTGCGAGGTTGGGTTGGAATATGAAGAAGATGATATGGCCGGAGAAGAGTCTGAATAGATCTTTCTAGAAACAATTTCAAATCCAGCTTCTCAGACCTAAAATATAAGCGCTATGTGCCTAAAAACTTCGACCACAAGTGTGAACGTAGTGACCGTTCATTTATTTTTGTTTATTCGTCTAATGCGGGCTTTCGCTAGTTTTATTATTTTTGTTGCAACCTTCAGAGTCAAGTCATCTCCGAAACGCAATTTTAGTAAAGAAAAGCTATTTATTTAAAGATTTTATATTTTGTCTCAACTAGGTTTTTAACGGATGTTTAATTAAGCCGTCCGAAAATATTTTTAAACATTCAATCTTAAAATTTACCTCCGTCTACATTTTGTTACGAGAATGCACGTGTATATAATTTCTGATCCGCCATTTTTAACAAAAAGTAATATACAAAAATTTCCCGCCTTTTTATTATGGCGGGTTTTCCATTTCTAAAATTGGCGTTTGCACACTGAAAACTGTTTTAAATGCCAATTTTTATTCAGTAAGTACCACTCTTTGAGTGGGCACAAATGTACACTGTACAAAGTATTGTAAATTAAGAGAACATGGTTCTTTTGTACAGTATACACTCATCTTGTACGCTGGATTCATCGCGTACAACGTGCGTACAAAAAAGAAAGAATTATGTATGTAAGCATGCTTCTGAAATTTGAATAATTGATTATTAATTGTAAATCATTTTGTTGGAAAATCAAGAAACTTCGTTTTCAATCTTTATCTTTCGTTTCAAGAAAATGCTAAGACGCCATGTTCGGTGGCCGGAAAAAGAAATCGTCGACGGCTGATCTAGCTAAGGAATCGGCAATTAAAACTCAGATATTAGGTAAACTTTTTATGTATTAAGCATTTTAAAGAGACTTATATTGTTGTGTCTTGCTAGGCTTGTTAGGGGGCTAAGCAGGTTAGTTAGTTCATTAATAGGATAATTGGTTGGTTCATTTATAGGTAATTGGTTGGTTCATTTATAGGCTAATTGGTTGGTTCATAGGATAATTGTTTGGTTCATTTATAGGCTAACTTGTTGGTTCTCATTTAGGCTGATTAGTTGTTCTATTTATCCAGCTAATTAATTGATTCATTTTAGGATGATTGTTTGGTTCTTTCATAGGATAATTGTTTGGTTCATTTATAGGCTAATTGGTTGGTTCATTTATAGGCTGATTGGTTGGTTCATTTATAGGCTAATTGGTTGGTTCATTTATAGGCTAATTGGTTGGTTCATAGGATAATTGTTTGGTTCATTTATAGGCTAACTTGTTGGTTCTCATTTAGGCTGATTAGTTGTTCTATTTATCCAGCTAATTAATTGATTCATTTTAGGATGATTGTTTGGTTCTTTCATAGGATAATTGTTTGGTTCATATAGAGGCTAATTAGTTGGTTCATTTATAGGCTAATTGGTTGGTTTATTTAAAGGCTAATTGGCTGGTTCATTTATAGGCTAATTGGTTAGTCAGGTCGTAAGATAGTTCATGCAGAAGAGGTAAATGGGGGGTTTTTGTAAAAAAAAAATGAACTATTGAGGTAGTATGTTTCATTTATTGTTGGAGTAATAGTTTAGCTTAATGGTTAGTTGTTTTAGTTGATAGTTCTATTGATTAATTGATTGACGTGTGAATTATTTGGTTTATTTAAGGATGAATTGATTAATTGATTTTTGTATTTTTTGATTTGTTGATTAATTTATTGATCTGATGATTAACTTATTGATCTGTTGATTAACTTATTGATCTGTTGATTAACCTATTAATCTGCTGATTAACTTAATGATCTGTTGATTAACTTTAAACTTATTAATCTGTTGATTAACTTGTTGATCTGTTGATTAACTTATTGATCTGTTGATTAACTTATTGATCTGTTGATTAACCTATTAATCTGCTGATTAACTTAATGATCTGTTGATTAACTTTAAACTTATTGATCTGTTGATTAACTTATTGATCTGTTGATTAACTTATTAATCTGTTGATTAACTTCTTGATCTGTTGATTAACTTATTGATCTGTTAATTAACTTATTGATATTTTGATTAAGTGATTAATGGATTGTCCAATTGATTTATTTATCTGTTAATTAGTTGATTGATTAATTGATTCGATAATTCCATTAATTGATCTATTAACTAATTGATTGATTTGATTGATTGCTTGTCTAGATGACCTGAAGGAGAGTGTAAAGGTACTTCAGCATGAAAATAAGAATAAAACAGATCCTCTTCTTCTTAACGAGTCTACAGCTAGGTAGGTTTATAGCATTGGTGGATACTTGATCCAATCCAGGCCGTCTGTTTGGTGGTGGTCCATTGCATTCACATAGGAAGGATATAAGTATTTTGGAAATTCATCAATATGTTAACCAGTGTTTCGGATCCATATCATTTTGATTCGGATTCGGATCCGGATCCGGATCCGAGGTAACTTTTGATTCTGTGAATCGGATTTTCCCTATTAAATGTTATGCAAGGTTATAATTTATAAACTATAGTAATCCTAAAGTTAAAAATGTCGTCATTACTATTATATAAATGTAAACATTAAATTATTAAAGATAATTTTGAAAAAATTTCGTCATGTAAATAATACATTTACGAACCATTTTGATTTATTTATTCCATGGTTTTGGTTAATTTTTGGCGCTACCCGGATCCATATCAACGTTTCCTGATACGGATCCGGATCCGGATCCGACCAAATGATACGGATCCGACCGGATCCGGATCCGAAACACTGATGTTAACAGTTAAATCCGAGACGGTTTTAGCTTCAACGCTAAGGGAAAAGGACGTAACGGACCTAAAAAGACTTAATTCAGTATATTTCTTAATGGCCTTGTATGATCACTATCAATATATTTTTTATTATAATTCTTAAAATAGCGCCTGTCATCGCCACACATTTTTTATTCTTAAGATATTTAATTTAGCGGGAATGATTATGATCAGATAAACCTGTTTAGGTTCTGCTCCGTCCTTGAGGCAATATTCTTGCATGGGTTGAAAGAAACTTTCCTGGGCCGGTTATCTCGGTGGGGAGGTGGAGAACTCTCACCTAGGCTTCCACAACCCTCATTTTGGACATTTGCGTTAGTTTTCAGTCATAAACAGGTTAAACTCTTTTTATACTATCAATTAATTATATTATTAATTTCTTTTATAATTTTCTTGTTTGATTTATTTTTCTAAACGTACATTAGGATGTTTTTTTTAATAAAAGTTTTAAGTCGGCTTCATAAAAAACTTTCAAAAGGATCTCCGAAAATCTCCGTTAAAAGAACAAATATAATTTATTTCTTCATCGAATTATTGGATTATATTGATTGGACAATTACGCAGAAAACTAATATCCGTGTATTGAGCTTATTATTATTATTATTATTATTATTATTAATGATTATAATTGGATACTGATAGCTCTGGGAAAATGGTATCACATCAACCGAACTAGATCTAACAAAACTCTCTGTTTTCCCAACTTATTTTCACTCTGATGACTGTCTGTAGGTGGTTAGTTAGGTTTTCAACGACTTGAAAAGTGATTTTTCGCGGACTGAAAGTTTATAGGTCGGGAAAGACTTGGACGGTTTGCATAGCACTGTGAAAGGTTAGATTAGAAAACTGGTTATTCCAGGAACAAGATATTGGTATTTATACACAGATAAATAACAAAACAGATAAAACACTAGATTCTCATGGTTCAGTAAAATCCTTTGATTTCAGAGTGTTTTTAGACACCAACGAGTGCTGAGCCCCCCCTCTGGAAAGAAAATAAATTTAAGCGCCCCCCCCCCCCCTGATAAACATGTATGTATATACAAAGAGAAGATATATCTGATGGCAATCAAGAATAATTATGTTAAGGAGAATAATACGTTTACGGGAAGAAATAATATTCTTGAATGTATTCTATGTAATAAGAAGAACATTCATGTTTAAAAAGACTGTACACGAAATTTCAACTCTTTATCTCTTTATCTGTGTCCATTGTCTCTACTTTATAGATATTCAAGTCACTAAATCCGAGAAACCACAGTTGATAATAATCAATTTTCAGCTTAAAACCCTAGGATATCTCATCAATAATTAGATAAAGATTTAGAGGGTATCATTGTGAGTCGGACATACCATTAAAAAATAAAAGGGTCACTGAAAATTATGTCTTTTGTCCCTTTCTTGGTATAAACTTATTATTTATAACAAAAATAAGTTCACATTGTTTTTTGCTAGATTTCCCCACAATATTTTTATTAATCCGTCGTGACTTGATATTTTTGATACAAACTGATAATACAGAGTAAACATGTTGATCAATATTTTTCAAGCATAGGAGAATAATTAAGTGCAAACAGAGCATAATTTATTTACGGAGTCTTGAAGGGGGGGGGAATTTGTGTTTTATTTTGTTCAATATCTAATTCTTATTATTAAGAAGTATTAAAGAAGAACGGAAGATAGATTAGATATAAAGGAATAAACCTAAATATTAGATATTTTGACAGCTTATTTCTATATTTTGATATTTAGTATTCTCCTTAAACTTTTTAGTAAATATTCTAATTACATCCTGTAATGTTTCATTTTTAAGCGGATCCGCCCTGACAAAAAATGGATCCGGATCCAGTCTTAAACATTTATTCAAAGTTTACTGATTTTTTGAACAAATAAAAATTTCTAAAATTTCGTCTCTTTTGCTTTTTTTTATGGAACCCTTAGAAAACCTTAACCTTTTTGTAGTTAATCATAATCAAAGAACAGAATGGTCCAGGGGATTTAAACTAACCACAGTCCACAGTACTTAGGATCCAGTTAATTTTGATGCGGATCATCTATGGAAAAAATGGATCCGGATCCTGGTCCTAAACAATTTTTCAAGATTTACTAATAAAAATATTCAAATTTTTTTCTTTTTCCGCTGAAACTTTTTCAGAGATTTAGATGTGTTTTTACTAACCTCTTATTAGTGAACAAGGTAGGGATTTGGGGATGTTATGGTTGATTGTAACCTAGGAATTACATAAATTAAACTTACAAAACTTGCTGCATTTTTTCGTTTTAGAAAAAAATATCATGTTTGATTTGTCAGAGGAAAAATTATCTTTGCACAACATTTGTTTTTAGATAGTTCATGATTTTGTAAAATTTTTAGCGGTATTTTGTTTATACCTTGCCCCTCTGCATAGTTTTTGCGGGTCCGAATCCAGGAAGCCAAAATGATGCGGATCCCGATCCTAAGCACTGATTCTAACATAAATTTAAACAAATACTACTACTATTTATGAAGGAGAAAAGTTAAAAGGGGATAATAGATAATCTTCTAGAGGTTTATAATTAAAAAAAGTTTTCAAGTTTTGTGGAAAATAAAAATAAGATTTAAAGATGTAAAGAAAATCTTTAGGGAAAACATATTTTGGAGAAAGGGAGGCCGGTAGAAATTCACAATTTTTTTAAAATTTTGATCGTGAATCTTATTTTTAATCTTATAAAAAATTAGAGTGAAACTATTTTGTTTAGAAGGGATGGATTGTGATTTTTAAACAAAATATAAACTCCTGAAATTATTTGTTCTGTCAGAAGTCGGCACAGTATTTTAAAATCTATTTTGTATTTGTAAAATGTAGAGTGCTAACTGTAAACCAATATTAAAGAAACGACAAGAATATTTCGTTATTTTAAACAAAATATTCAAGTATTTGTATTGTTTGTAATGCAGGGTGGTTTATATTTTTTAAATTAATTGATTTGATTCGCAGGGTAGCCAAAATGTACCGAATGTACGGACTGTACGGAAAATGTCTCAAATTGTCCGGATTTTCAGGATTTTTAGCTCGGAAAACATAATTTTTTTTCTACTTTGACTCGACAAAAGCTCATTTTTGCATGAAAATTTTCTAAAAAGGAGTCTCGTCAAAATGGAGTTTAACTTATTATCTTCATTCCGAATTTTATTTGGTTGATTGTTGTTTCAATTGATAATTAAAATTTATTCTTTCATCTTTTCGAGAATATGTTCCGAATTCATTGGAGAATATGTTCCAGAAATACGTGGTGTCCCACAAAAAAAACTTTGCAGTAAGGGTATTTGATAATGTACACTGTACAGATTGTACAGATTTTTCTGGAAATGCACGGATTTTTGTACGGATTTTTCTCAAAAGTGTTGGCTACCCTGGATTTGATTTGATCTTCAAAAACTGGAGCGGGAGGGGTGATAGAAAAAGAATATTTTACTAGAAAATATTTACCTCTATTGTAATGTCTCTTACAAGGCTTGTATTGATCTTTTTGCAGACTATAGAGATGTCTTTGAGAGGGGAAAATTGTCAAAAATTGTCAATTTTGTACAAAATTTGCTTAAAGGGAGTGTGCGCGGTAGCTTTGACCCTCCATGCAAAGATGGCAATGCCTGATTCACAACGGTACCCTTCAACTTGTGCGTAAAGTGCCAAATATAAAACTTTGACTTAGGACAAAATTAACAGTTTATTATCATTTACGAGCAAAAATGTTCAAATAATATTTTTTCTCCATCCTGTTAAATCTAGAAATAATTTTTAGATTTATTATCATTATTATTATTATTATATCTTAGAAATAGGGCAGTTAGCATTCTCCCGGGATAGCGTGGGGCATTATTACTCATAGATACGCTTGGTGGACAGGAGCATCATCAAAAGACGGATCGTCTTTATAAAAAATAATAAATGATAACAATAATAATAGTAATAATAATATTATTCAGGTGATCAGTGCTGTGGAGAAATATTCGCAGATAAACTCTGAGGTTGGAAGATCCAGAGCTTGGCTTCGACTAGCACTTAACGATGGACTACTGGTAATGTTCATTTTTATTCAAGGGGATCAAGAGCTGAGAAAACTTTAGAATTGTGGATATGGGTTCAATGTTTGATCGCCTCTTTTTATACATCTCAAGATTATTTAAATCTTTAGTTTTTAACCGGAAAAGTTTATGTACTATGTCTCGGAAAGATATCTATCTCCTATGTTCTATGTTTAGGGAAGCTATATATTTCCTATGTTCTATGTTGAGGAAAGCTATTTAGCTCCTATGTTTTATGTCTTGGAAAGCTATCTATCTCCTATGTTCTATGTTTAGGAAAGCTATCTAGCTTCTATGTTCTATGTTTGGGAAAGCTATCTAGCTCCTATGTTCTATGTTTAGGAAAGCTATCTAGCTCCTATGTTCTATGTTTAGGAAAGCTATCTAGCTTCTATGTTCTATGTTTACGAAAGCTATCTATCTCCTATGTTCTATGTTTAGGAAAGCTATCAAGCTTCTATGTTCTATGTTTAGGAAAACTATCTAGCTTCTATGTTCTATGTTTACGAAAGCTATCTATCTCCTATGTTCTATGTTTAGGAAAGCTATCTTGCACCTATGTTCTATGTTTAGGAAAGCTATCTAGCTCCTAAGTTCTATGTTTAGAAAAGCTATCTATCTCCTATGTTCTACGTTTAGGAAAGCTATCTAGCACCTATGTTCTATGTTTAGGAAGCTATCTATCTCCTATGTTTTATGTTTAGGAAAGCTATCTATCTCCTATGTTCTATGTGTAGGAAAGCTATCTAGCACCTATGTTCTATGTTTAGGAAAGCTATCTAGCTTCTATGTTCTATGGTTAGAAAAGCTATCTATCTCCTATGTTCTATGTTAAGGAAAGCTATCTATCTCCTATGTTCTATGTTCAGGAAAGCTATCTATATGTTCTATGTTTAGGAAAGCTATCTAGCTTCTATGTTCTATGGTTAGAAAAGCTATCTATCTCCTATGTTCTATGTTAAGGAAAGCTATCTATCTCCTATGTTCTATGTTCAGGAAAGCTATCTAGCACCTATGTTCTATGGTTAGGAAAGCTATCTAGCTCCTATGTTCTATGTTTAGGAAAGCTATCTAGCTTCTATGTTCTATGTTTAGGTAAGCTATCTAGCTCCTATGTTCTATGTTTAGGAAATCTATCTAGCTTCTATGTTCTATGTTTAGGAAAGCTATCTAGCACCTATGTTCTATGTTTAGGAAAGCTATCTAGCTTTTTTGTTCTATGTTTAGGAAAGCTATCTAGCTCCTATGTTATATGTTTAGGAAAGCTATCTAGCACCTATGTCCCAGGATAAAGTGTCCCTATCTGTTCACTATGAGAGCTATGCATTCCTACGGGACTCGGAGAAAATGGATCTTGTTGTTCGATATATTTCTGGAATTCAGGTCAGAGGGTTTGACTCCCCCCCCCCCATGCTTGTTATTTTCAATACAAAAACTGTTGTTAATGGGACTGTTGTCACAATTTAAATGGACTCTCCATAAATAAATATAAAAAAAATTGTGACGGTACCCTTTAAAGCTTTATCTGATTTAGATATCCTCGTTTATCTCTTTGAAAAATGATTGTTATTAAGTGTGGTTTCTCTATATATGTGACTTAGCATTTCTGCTGCAGAAACAATGGAGGTTTGAACTAAACATTTTTTTAGCTAGAAAAACGATGATATTTTCCACATAATTGATCAAATTGATAAGATTAAAAGAGTACTATTGTGAATCGGGCATGTCTACCTTTGTAAATGTAGGGGGATTGAAAATACAAGGACAATCCCTTTATTGGGTTTTCTTCCTGTAAAATTTACCAGCCCAGTGGGAATCCTCCCCTGATTGAGCCGCGTACTTTCTTCTTTATATATTTTAGTTTTCAACCATAGGTTTATACACTTGTCATTCCCCTAGGTTTGCATTTTATATCATTTTTTTAAAAGATTTTTATGCTCAATGATTTTTTTGTAGTGTATTTTTTTTACCCGCATTATGATTTTTTTATTAAGCTCCAATTTGTGGTGGGTCATAAACCAGTTTTAAAACCATATAGAATTATATTCTTATTATTATTAAATCACTTTCCTACGTTTCTATTCTTTCTGCAGAAATGGCGTATAGAAAAGAACAGATCGTAGAATATCCTTTTTTATTTATTGCCAACACTCCCTTTAATTTTTTTGTGACGCAGCATATATTTTTCTTTAATAAAGTGTGCGCGTAATTTCGGGTGGATTTGCATTGTCTGATAAAGAGTGAGAGAGGTTTAAAGTTTAGTTACCGTTGTGAATCGAACATAAAAATCTAGGTTCACATGAAATTACGTCTACAGTCCCTTTAAAGAAATTGTTTCAGGTTTTATCCTTCTCTCTTCCAACCAATGTTTCAATGCTCAACAGGTGAGGGATATATTTATATCTTTTAATTCCAGGCCCCTGTACACCTGATTGGATTGGATTGGATTGGATTGGATTGGATTGGATTGGATTGGATTGGATTGGATTGGAGATTATGACAAGAATTAGCCATAGTTTCTTAAAATTAATTAATTAATTAATAAATTAATGAAGGATGAGACTTCAATAACGATCTCAAGCTTGTTAAATCTATAAACGGTATGAGGGTTAAACTTAGGCCTTAAATAAAAATGTTTAAAGATTTATTAAATGATATAATAGCCTTAAAAAATATTTGATTTAAACAATCCCTGTAAAAACAATAATTTGTAACTCAGCCTATTTAAATTGGCTGAAAAGCAAGTTATGAATGTTTTTATTCAGTTTAGATTAAATAAAAGAAACGGAAGAACAAAATTGTTTGTTTAAAAATATAGAGAAGAAAAAAATGTTATTTTTCTTATAATAAAGTTTATTTTAAGATGGTTACCGGAACCTCTCGTTATGGCTGGGCTATGGACGAGCACCTTGCAACCGCTTACAGACATGGCTGCCGTCGACGCGGCCGAATTGGCGGAGGAAACTCCACCCCAGCCGATTTTTATCCGTAATTTGTCCCAGCCCGTCACAAACCAAAGTTTCGTCCAGCTTGGACTGATCAACGAGGATGAAGCTCTTCGACTTATCCTGCAGTCAACCCCGGTCAGTCTTCCCACATTCCCGGAGCCGTTATCAAGGAACCTATCTCCTACGCCGTCCAACCTGCAATCCTACTCATCCTCCAGAGCTTCATCTCCGGCTCCTGGTTCCCAGTCTTCCCGAGCACAGTCTCCTGTATCTAGAGGAGTATCTCCAGGACCTGGACCAGTATCAGCAGGACAAACTACCATGGTTACTCAGGTTCTCCGTGGGACGACTGTAGTGCATCCTGAAGCTCTGACGAGACTGGTTCACGGTCATGATAATTATGAAGCTGTTCCAGAACTGGAAAAATCTCCCGAACCAGCCGAAGATGAACAGGATTTAGATTTCTACAATACAACCCAGCCCGAGTTTTATCTTGGTCAACCTGAGCTTGATGAAGCACAAGAACAAGGGGAGGAGAAGGTTCCGCATTCTACGGGAGCAGGTTCTACTAAAGATAAACCTTGTTTACCTCCTCTGGACCCTGATATACGTGAAGGTTCGGCGGAGTCTCAAATTTCCAGCGGAGATATCGTGTCCACTCCAAGTATGGAGTGGGACGAGGAACGAACTGTCCCTGCTCCAGATGCAGTTAATACAGTGCGGGACGACATTTTACTCCAGGAGGGCCCGAAGCACTCTACCCCTGAACCAGACTTGGAACAGGATAGTGTAGATTCAAATGGCAAGTATTTTATCATTATTATTATTATAGATTTTATATGGATCAGAAAATCTTACGAATAAACCATTTACGTAAAAAAAGCTCTTTAAATTCTGTACAGTCGTCTCGGTATATATTTAATTTAGTACACATTTAAGTAAACAATATTTTTTTTAATTGGTACAATAAACAAAGCCAGGTACAATATGTACATGATGTACCCTTATATAACCCTTATGTAATAAACTGAGTACTCAATATTTGATACTTCCAAATACATAAATTTCTTTTAAAAATATTAAAAATTCTAACATTTATCCAGATTCCAGCTGCACTTGCTCTACTGAAGGACCCAGGGCCAGCTGTACTCAATGTTCCAATACTTCGCCAAAAACTAGGTACTCCCCCTACTCTTCTCCACCTCTCTAAATCCGCCAACCACACTCATGGAGAAACCACAATTGAAAATAATGAATTTACAAAGAGAATTTCTTGGAATGTGTGAATCGGACTCGATTAATTGAGTCACTTTAAGATAACTTCATTTAAATTCTATTTTGATTACATTGTGGAGCAAAACACCTATACTCTTTCTTCTTCTGAATATATTTAAATGCAGTCTATTGAGTTATAAACTCAATTTTCACAAAAATGACACTTTGAGCAAATCCATTTTTTCTTAATCGTAGGAGTCAAACGCAGTTTAAAGTCTGAAATCAACCGTGACTGTTGTTTCTACATTAGAGCTTATTCTGTTTTTTTTTGTTTGTTTTCTTGAACTGTTAATGGCAGTGTCCTCAAAATATGTTACTACTTTAACAGTCAGAAGATATGTTTTGACAAGAAATCTAAACCCCAAGGTAACTGTACTATTTCCAGAATGGAGGTCTTTGTTGTCAACGTAGAATTGTTTGAACATATTATTGGATTTGATAATAAATGATATCTTCTCCTTTTCTGGAAATCATTCCCTGAAAGGGGCTGTCAAGTGAATCTCCGTTTTAAGAGTTTAAGAGTACACTTAAACCCTTTATTAGACTTTCGGTTTCTTCCTTATCTCTGTAGCAAAAATCCGCAAGTAATTTTCATTGACAACCGCAATTGAAAATAATAAAAAAACAGGATATCTTCATCATTTTGGTCAGATAAATGTTTAAAGAGTCTTTACTAGAGGGTTACAGGAAATTACGTTTACAGTCCCCTTAAATCTTATATTGTAGAGTTTCCCTGAGTGAATTTGTGGAACCTGATCCGAGCAGCTTAGATCTTATTGGACTAGACGGAGAGAGAAATAAGAGAAAACTACTTCATAAAATAGGATTCAGGTAGGATATCCAATAAACGTCAAAACGGCTGATCAAATTTCAAATATTTGTCACCATCAAAATTCATTGTTCATCAAACCTGAACCGATCAGGCCCAAATTTTGTGTGGGACCTCACGTGACCCCAAGGGAAGGTTTATGAATGATCAAAATTTCAAATATTTGTCTCCATCAAAATTCATTTTTCATTAAATTTTTGAAAATTTTGAAAATCCACGAAATTTTTTGTTTTTGTTTTACGATGTACACAAAGAGAACATGTTCACAATTAAAATAGAGGATGGGCGCGAAGTGGCCTAAAAGGCAAGTATTTATTAAAAAAAAAAAGAATGAATATGAGAAACGTCATCTACAATTGAGTTGAAGTTGTTTCTTGTTCTAATTCGTCGTTAAATAGACAAAACCATGCTTTTACGTCATCTGTACCATTTCTTCAGAATATAGAACCATTCATTGCTCTTCGGAATTATCTAGATCACATTAGATTAATAATTAAATATGTGTAAAGTTATCTCTGTTTGTCTGTCTGTTTGATTTTTTTGTTTGTTTTTATGTATGCACGATCATAACTCAGGAACCCCTTTCGTGATTTGCATCAAACTCGGTATTTTGACAGGAATGTTCTTCGCTTGAATTTGTTTTTAGAAGAATGTTTTAATTAACTTTTGTTGTTGTTTAAGTCTGAACTTTTTTCATTCCGACATTTAAGATCTTAATCCTTGTGAAAACTTTTTAGTTTAATCTTGTCAAGTTTATAAAGTGCTGTAAACCCTTTTCAAGCAAAACCGAGAAATTTAAACATTTTTTTTCTGTGAAACCATGAACAGAAATAATCAACTTTCAGTTGAAAACTAAAACGAGGATATCTCATTCATCCGTGATTAGACAATGGTTTAATGGGTTTCATTGTGAATTGGACTTCCACTCTATTATTAGTGGGTCACTTGAAATTACCCCTTTAATCCCATTAATGCTTATTTAGATGTTAGTTCCCTTGAAAAATCAATTTACACTTGCGATTAATAGAAAAAGTTTCAACAGCTATTTTTCTTATTTGTCAGTTCTACTGCGGGTAGGATTGTAGCTTTTACTCCGGGTGGGAGGTTTAGTACTAGATTTCTCCTGGGAGAACCAGGAACATCTTCGGATTAAAGTTAAATCATCCCTTAATGGTTTACACTAGGGAGGTTTTCTCTTTACTTGTCACAGGGGTCTCTAAGGCTAGTCAATATATAAATTTGGCTTGTCTGTCCGGGTGTCTGTTTGTTTGTTTGTATCCAATAAACGTCAAAACGGCTGAACCGATCGGGCCCAATTTTTTTGTGGGACATCTAGGGACCCCAGGGAAGGTTTATGAATGATCAAAATTTCAAATATTTGTCTCCATCAAAATTCGATCTTCATTAAATTTTTGAAAATTTTGTAAATCCGCGAATTATTTTTGTTTCGTTTTACGATGTACACAAAGAGAACATGTTCACAATTAATTTAGAAGATGGGCGCGAAGCGCCCTCTAAGGCTAGTCTATATATAAATTTGGCTTGTCTGTTTGTCTGTTTGTTTGTTTGTTTGTATCCAATAAACGGCTGAACCGATCGGGCCCAAATTTTTTGTGGAACCTCACTTGACCCCAGGGAAGGTTTATGAATGATCAAAATTTTAAAAATTTGTGTTAAAAAGTTTTTTTTTGAAAAATTTTGAAAATGCCCCAAAAAATATTATGAAATCCGCAAACTTTTTTGTTTTTGTTTTATGCTGTACAAAGAGAAGCCACAATTAAAAGTTGAAATAGAAGATGGGCGCGAAGCGCCCCAAAAGCCTAGTTACTATATTTATGCTAAGGGTATAAAGGACATGGTTGTTAATTGTAGAATGGTTTGATAATCTCTTAAGGCTTATCCCACCTCTTTCACTATTTTATTATTTATTTAGGACTAAACCTGTTGTGTCTCTGCCAGAGTTTGCTCTGCATAGGAATCTAGAACTAGTTTCCTGCTTAGATATTATACCTAGAGAACTAGGACTAGATACTCAGGTATTCATAGGAGTACCTGTATGGGTTGTTTTATCCTTAAAATAATGATAATAATAATAACTAGCCGGCATTGTCCAAGGAATTTCGAAAATTCTTCTATTCCTTGTTACTAGGGTAAATGAAACATTTTATTTTTTTAAAAACATTTTTGACCACTTGAGAAAATAAAAGACAGCTTAGGTACAGGGTGTCCCACGAAACATGACATTTAATACATCGTTATTTTTAGTTAAAACATCCTTTTGCTTCATTATCTTCTACTTTAAAATCAATTTTAATATTACATGACTCCCATATAATACTTTTTTTGATCTTTGGTATCAAACAACTTGACAAATTATGGAAGAAGACATTCTAAACTATTCACCAACTGTCATGTTTTGTGGGACACCATGTATTTATTTCTGTTTATATAATGATCAGCGGTATTAAATTGTGAAGACGATATTATAGAAATTGTATTCCAATATATAGGATGTACTGTACTTGGATTTTATCTAATAAATACTTCAGGACTGGAGGTGTATAGATTGTACTAAAGCTATCGGAGCTCTGTTCGGAAACGGAAAAGTCTGTTCCTTTACAAAGAAACATTACTGTGAAGATTGTCACGAAGACGACCTGTCCATTATCCCACCCCGTCTCATCTACAACTGGGATGCTAAACTGTATCCTGTATCAAAATCATCATTTAGATTTATAAACAAATTCAAGACAATGCCTGTGATACACTTGAGAACATTCAACCCTGCTCTTTCGGAGTTCGTCCCTTCGCTGGAGAAATGTAAACGACGGCGGAAGCAGTTGATTTATCTGCTGGCGTATATATCCGCCTGTCCTAGGGCGGAGGAGGGAAACCTCAGGAGTAAACTAATGGACGTGTTGGGGAAGAGAGAGTATCTTCTTCAGGACACGGAGACCTTTTCCGTCCAGGACCTGGTGGAGATACAGGCCGGGGAGTTGGACGGGATGATGCAGCGTGGAGTGCTCTTCTGCATGGTTCATGTGGACTCTTGTCTAATCTGCGCTGGTCGGGGATTCATTTGCGAGATTTGTGAGGTAAAACTTTCTAGAGTCCAGACTGAGATCGACATTTTTGATTTGTTAATTCAATCATAAATCTCTAATCCGTATCTTCTAGTCTAACGGATTAAGTTAATTACTTTTGGGTCTCTTTATAGTCGGAAAAATATACGATTGAGTTGTTTTGAAGGATCATGATCTTAAATCGTTACAAATTTATGGATATCGGGTTAAGATGTTTTAGATTAGCGCTATATCAATCAAAAGTTTTGACTTCTTTTATGCCTATAAAAGCATAATGGATACGGTCCATTTAATCTTGAATATTCTAGGATAAACGCCCCGTTTATCCCTTTAATCTTGTATATTCTAGGATAATAGCCCCTTGTATCCCTTTAATCTTGTATACTCTAGGATAAACGCCCCGTGTATTCCTTTAATCTTGAATATTCTAGTATAAACGCCCCGTTTATCCCTTTAATCTTGTATATTCTAGGATAATAGCCCCGTGTATCCCTTTAATCTTGTATATTCTAGGATAAACGCCCCGTGTATCCCTTTAATCTTGTATATTCTAGGATAAACGCCCCGTGTATCCCTTTAATCTTGTATATTCTAGGATAAACGCCCCGTGTATCCCTTTAATCTTGTATATTCTAGGATAAACGCCCCGTGTATCCCTTTAATCTTGAATATTCTAGGATAAACGCCCCGTGTATCCCTTTAATCTTGAATATTCTTGGACAAACGCCCCGTGTATCCCTTTAATATTGAATATTCAAGGATAAACGCCCCGTGTATCACTTTAATCTTGAATATTCTAGGATTAACGTCCCGTGTATCCCTGTAATCTTGAATATTCTAGGATTAACGTCCCGTGTATCCCTGTAATCTTGAATATTCTAGGATAAACTTCCCGTGTATCCCTGTAATCTTGAATATTCTAGGATAAACTTTCCGTGTATCCCTTTAATCTATAATATTCTAGGATAAACGTCCCGTGTATCCCTTTAACCTTGACTCAACCAGCCAGTGCCAGGACTGCTGTACTGTATTCCACTCCTCCTGTGCGCTAACACTACAGGAATGTCCCAGGTATAGATTGACCGCCATCAATTATATTCTCAGATACGATCATGACCATTTTAAAGAGGGATAAAAATCGATCTGAAATTTGGTTTCGTAATTTTAAACTGTTAGAATTCAATAAATGTACCTCGAGAGATATATCAGTTTTTAATCGTGACAATTTACAAAATCTTCATTTTTTGTTCTGAAGATCAAACAAAGACGACTTTCATTCGACTTATAAGGGACTGTAGGCGTAATTTCAAGTGACCCTTCATGCGCTCAAAGATGGCAATGCCGATTTACAACTTTGTCAGATCAAGTATGAATTATATAAGAATGTTTTTGTTTCTTTAAACTGTTCATTTTAATTTGCGGTTTCTCTGCGAAAGTGACTTGCGCATTTCTTGCTTACAAGAAGCAATGGACAAAGTTAGAGTTGTATACAGGCATTGCCATCTTTGCATGGATTATATTCTAATAGGAAAATTGGAGAACTGCGGAATAAGAGCAATTAAAAAAATTGAGCTGTTGATTTATAGATTCAGTAAAAAGAAGAAAAACTTAAACATCTGGACTTTTAGAAAATCGTCAAAAAAATGTTTTACTTTTATACATTCGTACACCCTCCGAAACTGAGGTGTTTTTAAATAATTTGTTGTATTCTGAATACAAAATTATGTATTGGTCTTACCTTATATTGAGGTAGACCAGGTGTATCCTTCAGATATACCAGGTGTATCCTTCATATATACCAGGTGTATCCTTCAGATATACCAGGTGTATCCTTCAGATATACCAGGTGTATCCTTCATATATACCAGGTGTATCCTTCATATATACCAGGTGTATCCTTCAGATATACCAGGTGTATCCTTCAGATATACCAGGTGTATCCTTCATATATACCAGGTGTATCCTTCATATATACCAGGTGTATCCTTCAGATATACCAGGTGTATCCTTCAGATATACCAGGTGTATCCTTCATATATACCAGGTGTATCCTTCATATATACCAGGTGTATCCTTCAGATATACCAGGTGTATCCTTCAGATATACCAGGTGTATCCTTCATATATACCAGGTGTATCCTTCATATATACCAGGTGTATCCTTCAGATATACCAGGTGTATCCTTCAGATATACCAGGTGTATCCTTCATATATACCAGGTGTATCCTTCATATATACCAGGTGTATCCTTCAGATATACCAGGTGTATCCTTCAGATATACCAGGTGTATCCTTCATATATACCAGGTGTATCCTTCATATATACCAGGTGTATCCTTCAGATATACCAGGTGTATCCTTCAGATATACCAGGTGTATCCTTCATATATACCAGGTGTATCCTTCATATATACCAGGTGTATCCTTCAGATATACCAGGTGTATCCTTCAGATATACCAGGTGTATCCTTCATATATACCAGGTGTATCCTTCATATATACCAGGTGTATCCTTCAGATATACCAGGTGTATCCTTCAGATATACCANTTACCATCTTTAGAGATTTTAGATCGAATTACAATAAATTCTATAAATTGATACCCGTGAGACTCCAGAGACGACTGTACGGAATTTATACAGTATGTTTTCCTATATTCACGATTTATGCAAATGTAAACTAAAGCAGACATAATATAACCTAGGGATCTTCATATTACATGAGTTTCAGGTCGTCTTTACAGTCTCATCCTGTATTAAAGTTTCTTGCTTTAACATTTTATAAACTTTGTTTTACTGTAATATTTATCTAACAATCGATATGAGATAATAAAAAGATTTATAATCTCGACAAAAATTTGCTCCGTTTTATCTCCCATCTGAGCAGAATTAGAACCCTCCGTATTTATTCTTATTTAAAGTTTATATTAACCTTGGAGAGAAAATGGTGTCATTTAATTATATTAAAACATTAAATGACATATTTTTCTTGTTTGAAGGAAATATCCTTTTTGATTAATATATGCACTATTCACTATTCAGTCTAATGTGATACTAGTTATAAATGTATATAAAATATATTTATATTTATATATGTGAAATAAAATGTTTGATTATGCAGATTCGGTATTATTTTTGAAAGAATACAAATAATAATGCTTTAAAGGGAGTGTTCTCGAAAAATTATGTCGAAAAATATTCGATGGTGGTTGTTATTAATCTTACTTCTATCTGTTGCGTCTATAAGGATATAATTGTTAAAAACTATTCATACCGAAGAACGTAGCGTCTAAAAGGATTCAGAAAGTTCCAATATTCGACTTGTATTGTAAAAAAATTTAATTATTTCCAAACTTAATCATTCAGATATTACAACCTTTAATCATCGGGTTTTTTTTCTACTCATTTGTATATAGTTGATATTTCATAGTATTAATATATTTTATTTTTTCTATATACTACTACTAATCATTGATTAAACTCATTTAAATCTTAACCAATATATTCAGATAGCAGAGTAAAGATCTAAATCATCATGTCCAGGATACCTTTATTAATCATTGATTAAACTCTTGTAAATCTTAACTAATATATTCAGATAGCAGAGTAAAGATATAAATCATCATGTCCAGGATACCTTTACTAATCATTGATTAAACTCATTTAAATCTTAACCCATATATACAGATAGCAGAGTAAAGATCTAAATCATTATGTCCAGGATACCTTTATTAATCATTGATTAAACTCTTATAAATCTTAACTAATATATTCAGATAGCAGAGTAAAGATATAAATCATCATGTCCAGGATACCTTTATTAATTATTGATTAGACTCTTATAAATCTTAACTAATATATTCAGATACAGTGAAACCTGAATAACGAATTCATCGGAAGAATTTATCAATTGTCGTCTTGACAATTTTTTAATGAGTTTTATACTATATTACGTAAATTTCAGTGAATAGGACAAAGAATGAATGTTGAACATCAGAGTTTTCTTAGAATAAAAGTATGCATAGTTTTCATGTGAACAATATGAACAAAATATACGTTATCATTATTCTAAATTAATTATTCATTGTTGTTCTGTGTTTATTAAAAGATTTTCACAATAATTCCGTATCATCCGTAGAACGAAACTAAGTGCATATAGGAGCCTGAATTAAAGGTGAAGAGAAATGAATGTAAGATGAAGGAGAATGACTGAAGGGTGAAGGAGAATAAATGAAGGGTAAAGGAAAATAAATGAAGGGTATAGGAGAATGAAAGAAGGGTAAAGGGGAATGAATGAAGGGTAAAGGAGAATGAATGAAGGGTAAAGGAGAATAAATGAATGAAGAGTAGACGAGAATGAATGAAGTGTAAAGGAGAATAAATGAAGGGTAAAGGAGAATGAATGAAGGGTAAAGGAGAATGAATGAAGGGTGAAGAAGAATGAATGAAGGGTAAAGGAGAATGAATGAAGAGTAAAGGAGAGTAAATGAAGGGTAAAGAAGAATGATCATGAGCATGAAAGAGAGAGAATGAATGAAGGGTGAAGGAGAATGAATGAAGGGTAAAGGAGAATGAATGAAGGGTAAAGGAGAATGAATGAAGGGTAAAGGAGAATGAATGAAGATTAAAGGAGAATAAATGAATAAATGAACGGTAAAGAAGGATGATCATGTGAATGAAAAAGAGGGAATAAATGAAAGTGAAGGCGAAAGAACAAATAAAATTCAAAGAAAGAATGAATAAAAGGTGAAGGAGAAAGAATGAATGAAAAATCTGAAGATCTTGTTATTTATTAAGAAAACTCTGCAAATAAAACTTAACAACAGACTAAAAACCAAACTATTCTAATCCAAACATCCGTTAAATAAATACTAATTTCTGGATCTACAAAATTCAATCCCCCTCTCTCTGTTTTGGAATTTTACGGGGCATGTGCGCGCAACATAGAATGGCAAACCCCATTCAATTGTCTTCCCAATATAAGTATGCTTCTCGAAAAAAGCAATAATCATAGTCCTGCCATTTCCAAAATGTGGTCTGGCCTTCTTGTGATTTTCTAATTGCCAGATATGCATAAAAATTTCGTTAATTCTGAATTATATCTCTGGGAATTTTGAAAGCAAACAATTAGGCAGACAACATTTTGGAAATGGCAAAACTAGGTCAGCTACTATGTGATTTTATTTTTATGGATCATCTCTGTAAAATTAAGTTGACCAATGATGAAGATTTTAAAAACATAAACATTTTTACAAATTCGAAAGAAGACTTTTTTAAAATTAACATGAAGATTTTCAGAAATCCCTGTCCAGCTCTTTTATATTCTATTTACAGGGTTACCCGCAATGGTTAAGTCTGTAAAGACGACCTGAAACTCTCAAGGTTAAATTGTGTCTTCTATCTTGAATATAGTCTATTAAGGGCTTATTAAACGATTTGGCAAATAAAGAAACATGGTTTAAAGGAGTTGAGTCTTTGCCACAAACTCTGATTTTCTAAACCCTGTATCTTTGAAACCCAATGTTCTAGAACCTTAGATATTTCAAACTATGAATTGTGGTAGATCAAATAATCTTAGTTTGAAATATTAAAGGTTTAAAGCACCTAGTTGCAAAGATATAAGGATTTGAAAATTTGTCTTTGTGGCAAAGACTCAATTCCTTTGCAGTTGAATATTAGGTAACCTATATTATGAATTTCGTACAATCGTCTCTGAAGTCTCATCCTTTGTGATGTGCAGTGATATGCCTCCTTTCTTTTAAAATATATAATTTTATTTCTCCGAACTCGAAGGATTATTTCAATTCAAGAATTATTTATGTTTAAAGGTATTTAACTGTTGTTTGTAAGAAAATATAACAGAATGCGGTATTTTGAATCCTACAAACCTTAATTCCATCTTGATTCTTGATGCATAAAATAAATGTATTATTCAGTGATATCAAAAACAGGGACTAATTGCTCTCTTCGTTTTTTCTTGCGATTTTTAAAATGTCTCAGGATTTTGTAATCTATAACAAGAATATCTGAAAACTATCCAGGTTTATTATAACAAGAATATCTGAAAACTATCCAGGTTTATTATAACAAGAATATCTGAAAACTATCCAGGTTTATTATAACAAGAATATCTGAAAACTATCCAGGTTNCCCCCCCCCCCTCTAGGTATGTAACAATGAACCCCTATGGTCTCGGTAACATGGCGGAGGCTCCTCTCTCTCTCTTTTCCTCTCTTCTTTCTCTCTTTCTCCCTTTCTCTGTGGGTTTAGTAACTCCCTGAGCCGGGTTTCAGTCCTCGGTAGATTCTGAAGACAGCTGGCTCACTCACATATTTCAGGTTGGTTTTCATTGCATCCCCCTTCTCCTACTTATATCCGTACCCGGAGAATTAATTAGGACAACCCGTCGTTTAAGAACACATGACATCTTTATGTTTAACTGATGAATTTTTGGTTTTACTGTGACTTGAAAAGGGCAACATATGGTACTTTTTTGACCATTTGCTCCGGGGTCAAAAATGGGGTGGGGTTTGGATTGTAAATTGAATTCTTAATATACATATTAGATATGCTTATTAAAAATAAGAAGTTTTTTTATTTAAACATATGGTCAACAGGTCCCTCATGTTTTATTCTTTTAATGACGGAAATGCGGGAAATATTGTACATTAGAGTAAACAATATGTTTGACAGCCATATACAGTATACAAACTATAAAAATACGCGAAAATCAAAGAAATTTACATTTTTCGTCACGAGTTGGTAAAACGTCAAACGGAGTTCCTTCTTTTTTAAATTATAAACTTTTTTTTACTATTTGGGGGGGCAATTTATTATTTTGATCTGTTTCACAACTTGATTTTTTGTAGACTTCTAATTTTGTTGCGGAGTAAAACTCTAATGAAAAGTTCAAATTGTTTTTGACATTTATTACGGAGTAACATTGATTTTTATTCTGAACCAACAAAAATACCTTATTAATCTGAAAATATTTTCGGAAGAGAAAAACAACTATGCTTTACATTATTTTTACAATGGTTTTAGGGCGCAAACATATGTTTTTTTGAGGGGGTGGCGAAAATGATATGATGTTGGATTGTTAGGATTGTTATGAAGTATATTCAGCGAGGTTATAGTATATAGAGTGATGATGTACGTTAATCCTTTACTAATTGTACAGGCCATGTAGTTCACTTCCAAAAGTCAATCTGTATAATACAGTACAGTACCCTATGCACCCTGGACTAACCTACTCTATATTTAACTCTATGCACCCTGGACTAAACTACACTATAGTTAACCCTATGCACCCTGGACTAAAGTACTCTATATTTAACCCTATGCACCCTGGACTAAACTACTCTATATTTAACCCTATGCACCCTGGACTAACCTACTCTATATTTAACTCTATGCACCCTGGACTAAACTACACTATAGTTAACCCTATCCACCCTGGACTAAAGTACTCTATATTTAACCCTATGCACCCTGGACTAAACTACTCTATATTTAACCCTATGCACCCTGGACTAAACTACTCTATATTTAACCCTATGCACCCTGGGGTAAACTACTGTACATGTAACCCAATGCAACCTGAACTAAACTACTCTATATTTAACCCTATGCACCCTGGACTTCAATGTAAGGCTATATTTAACCCTATGCACCCTGAACTACACTATTCATATATATTTAACCCTATGCACCTTGTACTTCAATGTAAGGTTATATTTAACCCTATGCATCCTGTACTCCAATGTAAGGCTATATTTAACCCTATTGCAGGGATGGGGAAGGACTAGTGACGAGGAGATGTAAAGGTAAACCTTCCTCCGTCTGTTTAATCCAAAATAAACCCAAATATTTTATTTCATCTTTAAAATAAACTCTCATCATCTTGTTTCTAAGAACTTTAGAAAGAAATAACATAATAATAAAATAAACAACATGTTAAATAATAAATAAATTGTAAACAATAATAAATGATAAGTACAAACTATTTTATAAACATATTCATCTCTTATTTCTGAAATACTGGAGTAGACAAGTTAAAATCTATGATTGGTTCAATTACGTCAATCGGAGGTCGGTCGGAACTTTTAAAGATTCAACCAATTGAAGCTGTTTTCACGGATTAAGCACTTAATCGCCTTAAATTAACTTTTAACTTTGGATATCAAGTTTTAAGACGTTGTAGATTTACGCTTAGGAATTGAGCCTTTGTCACAAATTCTGATTCCAATATCTTCGCAACCCAATGTCGTAGACCTTATATATTTTAAACTTTGAAATATACTAAATCAAATAATCTATGAATGAAATATCTAAAGTTTACACCATTGGGGTTTAAAGATATATGGATTAAAAAATTTAATTTTGTGGCAAAGACTCATTTCCTTTAAAAGTTCTGATCTTGGGCTTCTTGTAAATCGAGGATTTAATCTTATCCTCTTCCTTTAATAAACACTTCTCCTTAAAGGGAGTGTTTGCGAAAAATGAAAGGGGGGTATAGGCTTAATGCGATAAAAAAGCGCTTTTGATCGCTACTATCTACTTCTATCTGTTGCGCCTATAAGGTGAAAATTGTTAAAAACGACTCACACCGAAGAACGCAGCGTCCATACAAATTCAGAAAGCTGCAACATTCAACTCAGATCGTAAACAAATCAATTTAATTCCAAAAAAATCATTCAGATATTGCAAACAGTAGTCATCGATTATTTTTCGACGCATTCGTATTTAGTTAATATTTCATAATATTTTTTATTATTATTTTGGCTGGCGTTGGATTTTCGAACATTCCTGAAAAGTATGAAAATGTCCTCTTCATTATCAAAAACCCTCGAAACAGGAAGAAATGTTTTCAAAAGTAAATCTCAGATCATGAAAAATACAACATATTATGAAATATCAACTATTTACGAATGCGTCGAAAAATAATCGATGACTATTGTTTGTAATATCTGAATGATTTGTTTGGAATTAAATTGATTTGTTTACGATCCGAGTTGAATGTTGCATATTTCTGAGCTAGTATGGACACTACGTTCTTCGGTATTAGTCGTTTTTAACAATTTTCTCCTTATAGACGCAACAGATAGAGAAGTATACCCCCCTTTAATTTTTTTCGCGAACTCTCCCTTTAAATATGCGGCGTTGTGTAAGGTTGTATTTTAAGATCGGTTACTCTCGAAGTTCTCCAATGTACGGAAAATGTCGTCTCCTAAGCATAGATAGATAAAAACCTCATATGACGTCACTTATTATAGAGGTGAGAGTGACGTCATATGAGATTTTTATCTATCTATGCTAATGAGACAACATTTTCCGTACATTAGAGCGCATCGAGAGTAAGCAATCTTATTATACAACCTTGGGTTTAGGAGGATGATATGATCCCGGATAGGGATGCACACCGGTCTTCTCTTCTCCTCCAGGGGTGTATATTCACTCTTCAAGTTCTAGCCGCAGCGTCAGCACAAAATGTTGGTGAGTACAACGTAAACAAACAGGTCTACAGTGATTACATCATTTTTGAAAACCATAAAAACGTTTTTGTTGTTGTCGTTCATTACTGAACACTTTCATGATGAAAAGGTCTGATGGGATCACTGTAAAACCTTCATGTTATTACAATATTTGTTCTAATATTTGTATTAGTAATACCTCTGTAAAACCTTCATGTTATTACAATATGTGTTCTAATATTTGAAATAGTAATACCTGTGTTGTATCTACATATTGGTTACGAGTATATTTGATTTCTATGTTTAGAACATATATTTTCATGTTTTAGAATTCATACTCATGTGTCTCAAAACTGTTACAGGTTTTTTTGTGGTTATCTATCAAAAATGTTCTTAAAAATAATAGTATATTGATCATAATCATCGTTTTTAACCACCCTGTATCTTTCTACGAAGTTTTTAAATGAATATTTTTTTCTTAATAATAGTTTATTACTTTTCATGTATTTTTCCTGAGTAATTATAGAAAAAGGTGAACTTTATTCACCATGTTAATAGATTTATCGATCCTGAAAAATAATCAAATTAAGTTTTAATTAAAAAGTAATATTTTCTTTAAAGAATTTGTTTTGTTTTGCTATCAGAAGAAACTTGTTTTTAACTCTTTTTAAATTTGAAGTTTAATTTTAATATTTGTAGAGCTTTTAGAGCAACACAATTCTATGATTATTATTTGAGCAACTTAACTTCAATCCTAGCATATTTTTGGAGTTTCATTTTGTTGGTTTTTGGAGCGCGGTAAACCGGCTTTCTAGAGTATATAAAAATATTTTTTCTGATGAGTCAAGTGAACGGGATTTAATTTTCCAATCTTAAGTTTTAACATTGGCTTAAAAGTTTGATAGCTTTGAAATGAAAATAGTTTTCGTTGGTTTAAAGCGACAGTTAACTTAATCTTGAAATCTTGAAAATAAGGATAAGTCTGTCATCCTTGATCAGTCAAAGGTTGAAAGGGTGTGAATCGGACGAAAGAGGGAACCCCCGGACGCCATGAGCCTCTGCTATGCAGACACGAGCCTCTCAGATTTGCTAGGCAGACCGAGCCTCCACTATGCAGACCAATCCTCGGCTATGCAGACCGTGCCTCCGCAATACAGTGAACGAGCCATCACCATACAAAACAGTTTTTTTTAATCTTGGTTTTCATTTGTAATGAAAAATGTAAAAAAAAAATTTTGGTCTGCAAAGTGAAGGCTTGGTCTGCCTAGCAAATCTGGGAGGCTCGTGTCTGCATAGCGGAGGCTCATGGCGTCCCGGAGTTCCCTTCCTCATCGGACACGCCTCTTTTTAAAATGGTGGGTTACTTGAAATTATGCCTACATTCCCTTTAAAACATGTAGAGGATCTTTTTAATGGTAGGTTTATCCCTGGTTTTACTCTTTTAAAGTAATGACAGGGGCTTTTCTAGATTTTTTATAATAAAGAAGATTTATGTTGACATTATGTGGTTTGTTTACTTGATATTTCAATTTAATCAGGAGATATACTCTCCAGGGGGGGGGGGAGAAAAAAAGAGCAGAGAGCAATACTAGAGATAGAGTTACGAGAGATAAAAAGCAATATCTTCTATATTAGGGGTGGAAAGTATTAGCAATGTATCCTATATAGGAGGGGTAGGGAGCAATTTATTCTAGAAAGGAGGGGTAGGGTGCAATATATCCTATATAGGAGGGGTAGGAAGCAATATATCCTATATTTCAGGGGTAGGGAGCAATAAATCCAATACTGGAGAGGTAGGGAGCAAGTATTTTATTCATGAGGGGTTGGGAGCAATATATTCTTTACTAGCCTTATAGGTCGCTTATATTCTTTATACAAGGGGTTGGGAGCAATATACTCTATATAGGAGGGAGGGGTAGGGAGCAATTTATTCTATATAGGAGAGGTAGGTAGCAATTTATTCTATATAGGAGAGGTAGGTAGCAATTTATGCTATACAGGAGGAGTAGGAAGCAAGTACTATGTCTCTGAATAGGAGAGGTAGGTTGCAATTTATACTATACAGGAGGAGTAGGGAGCAAGTACTATGTCTCTGAATAGGAGATGTAGGTTGCAATATATACTATACAGGAGGAATAGGGAGCAAGTACTATGTCTCTGAATAGGAGAGGTAGGTTGCAATTTAAACTATACAGGAGGAGTAGGGAGCAAGTACTTTGTCTCTGAATAGGATCGAATGTTTATTATGTAAGACTAGTCCCTGGAGAGCCTTGTCTCCAGCTTTATTTCAAACACTTTCTACAATTCTTTTTAAGAAATTTCAAATTTTCGTATTTCAGACAATTTCTTTCATATTCCATAAATTGAAATTGTGACATTCTTCCAGTCTCAGACTTTATGCTATTTTTAAATGTTCAATTCATATACTTTCTAAAAAATTGTAATTTAATATTTATTCTGAGACGGAAATTCCGACTGAACCTTGTAAAAAAATCAAAGATAAAAAAGTTAAAAGAAAAAGTTAGAAATTAGATAAAAATTCCAAAAGTTCATTTATGAGAAAATGAAAGTTTTGTGTTTTATAAACCTGAAAATCTTTTTTATTTTATTGTTTAAAGGTAATTTCAAACCAAAAATCTCAAATTACAATTTGAAATATTTTACGGTAATTGCTGATTTATACACCCCCGTTTTATATGTGCACAAAAAAGTCCAAAACGATGGAATTGAGTTTTTGCCAGAAACCTTTGATATTTCAAACTTAGATTATTTGATCCAACAGAATTCATAGTTTGAAATATCAAAAGTATATGATATGGATTGCAAAAATATAGGGAATAAAAAACTAGAACTAGGTCTAAACTGTTAAATTTAATCCATGGGTTTCCCGGGTTTTCTTATTTCTAAAAATATCTCCCCAGCGTGGTATAAACATATATGATATTGCTATCAGTATAATATCAGAGCAGAAACATTATCTTTCTGAATTAGAACTATCATACTTTCCGCGCACATTTTTATATAAAAAATAATCACTTTGGTCTTTTTATGTCGAAAGGAACTATTGTTGTAATTTCCAGTAACCGTATATTTAAATAAAGAAGTCCGACACTCACAACACAACCCTGATAACCTTTATTTGATTAATATTGTGGAAAATTTGGTCGTTTCTCTAGACTGAAAAGTATAGATTTTAACAATTTTATTAATTATTTCTATATCAAAAATCTGCAAGTCCTATATTTTGAGACCCAAACTGTAATCAATGAATAAATCAACATTGTACAAAAAATAATGTTTTGATTAAAAATAGAATAGACAAACGATTAATCATAAGATGATTAAAGAATCAAGACACTGATCAGATTTCTCAGCCTCGGATGGCGGATTAATTTCAATTTATCTTCTCTGATCAACTTTTTTGTCGAGGCTGCCGATCATTTCAGCTTATCCCACGGGCAGTCGTAGTACATTTGAATTTCCGAGCCGGGACAACCATTCCGGTCCCAGTTTGTACTGTACCTCGCTCTATGCACTATGCACAGGACTAGCGACCATACAAATTCAGAAAATTGCAACATATGACTTAGACCGTAAAAAATCAATTTAATTTCAAACAAATCATTCATATATTACAACCTATAGTCATCGATTATCATTCGCCACATTTGTATATTATGTTGCAATTTTCTGAATTTGTATGGTCGCTAAGTTATTCGTGGAATGCCAGTAAACCTTTCCCAGAATTAATTTCTAAATTTTACAGTAATTAAAACAAATTTGTTGTTTGTACTCTTTCAAACCATTTTAAAATTAGAATTTTGAAGTGTAGAATTTAAAAATACTGTAATTTTAGATTTTTACAAATATTAAGTATTTTTCTGGTTGGGGAAGATGTATATAGCGGACATAGAAAGTCAAGGTTCAAAATTACTCAATGTTTTTGTTGATAGCATTTTATCGGTATATATCGTTATATATCCCAATTGTTCACTTCTGCAATTTCTCAAAGTTAATGCCTTGACGGGGCATTGTATGCACTTGTCAAGTTCCATTTTTAGCACCATTAGTTAACTGCTCTTGTTAATGTTATAGTACAGTTAATTAGCCTATAATTAGCCTGACAAACACTATTAAATATACACAATAAATATATGTGTATATATATATGCTTATATATTTATATGAACTCCCGTGGTGGGTATTTGTTTTAAGCCTTTATAGGGTGTCTCACTATAATGAATATGACAACAAATCCATGTGTAATATTTAATACTAGCCTGGGAACCCAGTTTTGCCTGGATTTTTTCCTATAAAAGTTAACTCACTCAATTTTGATTAAGAATATTTCCGTGGTTCTTCCGAGTTCCCCAATTCAAATTTGAGGCAAATTGGTCAAGTGGTTCGTAAGTTATGATTGAAAACTTAAACATTCAAACAGACAGATAGTGGTTACTACGTTATGAAAAACGGCAAATAAAAATTAAAAATAAACGTAAAGAATTCTTTTTAATAAAATAAAGGACTCTGTTCACTGTTTTTAATGGTATTTTAACTGTGTGACTGTTTAGCTAAATATGCCCATTCAAAGTAATAATTGTTATGTTTGCCTGTCTATATACTGTATATAAAATAAACCGAATACATTCCACAGTATTATACAGTTTATACACACTTTAATATTATCCTAATAATAACAGTGTTTAACTATTACCCCTTCAAGGGACCGTCCATGGTAAAAATATTGATCGATTTCAAAAAACAGCAAAACTTGTTGCTCAGAGCACAGCAAACTGAGCTAGTGGGATAGGTCAAATAGGCCTATGATAGGCAGGGTACTGTAAAAAGTCTGGCCGTGCCATCAAAGTTGGAAAGGGTTGAGCCGGTACAAGGGGTCGGTCTGGTTCGAAATAAATTGACCCTAGTCCACTGTGATACTTACGGATCAGGTAGACAGGATGTAGGGTTGACTTATACTAGGCCTCTAACAAGTAGGTATACGTGTCGGATTGGAAAAGCGCA